ATCGCTCACTGATTGGACGATGCAGTGCATGCACTGATCTCATGCTTCTTGACATGAGAGCCGTTTCCCAGCGGAGTGAAGAAAACACATGAACCTCACGGGACTCACTCCTCAGTTTATACCGTGTTTTGTTTCAATTCCTGTTTCATTTAGTTACAAATATGTGATATATCTGAACAACAAAGTGGTCAAAAATCATTTTATTCATTTGTTGGAAACATTTTCATGATCGCTTTTTTCGTTTTACATTTTCATTTATTGTCATTTCCATTCAGTCAGTCATTAAGTGCTATTAAAATGTTAATGTGCTACATATCCACACAAACAAACAAACAAACAAAGTGTGCAATCCAATGAATGTTAATCTAACTGGGTTTTGATAGATAACATATCTCTTTTTCTTCTCTCAATTATTTTATTTCTATTGTGCACTCTAATCAATATTAATCAAACTATTGTTCGTTTATACATTTTAAGAATGGCGTTTATCTTTTTTGAGAATGAGTTCTTATTTTATTTTATTTATTGGGATCTACAACAGATGATACAAATGTTTGTGTCAGTAAATGTGTACTAACAGAGGCGGGGGGTGTGTGGAAATAACGGGGACAGAGCTGGCTGCTGTCAGACGATCAGCTGTGCAGCGTCATCACAAACGGACGTCGCTTCACGTGACGCTCCGGAGGAAAGGACGTCCCATTGCTCTTAAAACTCATTTCCCTGCTTCTCGTGGTTTCCTTGCGTCCCTCCATGCTTCCCTGGAGGGAGGGACTAAACGCAGGGAAACGACGCAAGTGAGGGAAGCAAGGATTTCATTTAATCGACCTGAGAAGCAGCCCATATCTGGTACTGACACAGGCATTTATCAAACCTGGGCTGCTTCTCAGGTCGACTATTTTCATTTCCTCGCTCCTCGGTCCTCGGTCTCACCGGAAGTTGATTTGCCTGCGCCATCTTGAGTACCGTCCCATGGCTCTTATTTCTGCCGGAGGACCGAGGATCGAGGAGCGAGGAGCGATTATGGAGGAGCGATAACCGAGGAACCACCAGACCATCCTCCGATGAAATCCTCAGATACTCACCCCGCCCCCTTACTGTGTATCGCTCACTGATTGGACGAGGCAGTGCATGCACTGATCTGATGCTTCTTGACATGAGAGCAGAGTGAAGAAAATACATGAACCTCACGGGACTCACTCCTCAGTTTATACCGTGTTTTGTTTCAATCAATGTTTCATTTAGTTACAAATATGTGAAATATCTGAACAACTAAGTGGGCAAAAATCATTTTATTCATTTTTTGGAAACATTTTCATGATCGCTTTTTTCGTTTTACATTTTCATTTATTGTCATTTCCAGTCAGTCATTAAGTGCTATTACAATGTGAATGTACTGCATATCCACACAAACACACAAAGTGTGCAATCCAATGAATGTTAATCTAACTGGGTTTTGATAGATAACATATCTCTTTTTCTTCTCTCAATTACTTTATTTCTATTGTGCACTCTAATCAATATTAATCCAACTATCGTTCGTTTATACATTTTAAGAATGGCGTTTATCTTTTTTGAGAATGAGTTCTTATTTTATTTAATGTATTTGAGTCTACAACAGATGATACAAATGTTTGTGTCAGTAAATGTGTACTAACAGAGGCGGGGGTGTGTGGAAATAACGGGGACATAGCTGCTGTCAGACGATCAGCTGTGCAGCGTCATCACAAACTGACGTCGCTTCACGTGACGCTCCGGAGGAAAGAACGTCCCATTGCTCTTAAAACTCATTTCCCTGCTTCTCGTGGTTTCCTTGCGTCCCTCCATGCTTCCCTGGTGGGAGGGACTAAACGCAGGGAAACGACGCAAGTGAGGGAAGCAAGGATTTCATTTAATCGACCTGAGAAGCAGCCCTGGCTGTCACTACCCGATCTGCAGCTCTGCCCGATCTGCAGTGCGCATGTGCGAGATGGTCCGCCATATTGGACAACTCCGGACGGCAACCCACGATGGACACTTGACACAGTGGCTTTTGGCAAAGCTCAAAAATAAAACTCGAGAGAGATGAGTTATTGTTATTACAACGTGACTTCACTATTATTTAACAACTCTTTTTATTGGGTTCTTTTATTTGGGGTTAAGTACATTGTCAGAATAAGTGAGAAATGGATTTAACTTCTGTTATGCATATGCCATACATTTTTGCACACATTCACAGTAAATATGTATTCAGTATGATAGCTGTCTAACAGAAGTTAAATCCATTTCTCACTTATTCTGACAATGTACTTAACCCCAAATAAAAGAACCCAATAAAAAGAGTTGTAAAAAAGAGTCTTTGTACCTGTGCTGAAGTTCACTGCTGTGAGGAGTCCAGTTCTGTCTCTCACTCTCTGGTCCAGCCTGTCTGCATCACCTGGACACCTTAAACAAACAGATATATATATATATATATATATATATATATATATATATATATATATATATGTAAAGTACCATGTGTACAAACAATATAACTGATTCTCTTCTGTTGAACATGTTGGATTGTGTATTGTCCGAGTCAGGGTCCTTTTTATTTTACTGTAACTTTGGAAGTTGTGTTACCAATGCTTACTGTTTATTTGATACCCATTTGGTAATGAAATTAATAAAAACAACAAGGTTTGGGTTCGTTCTTCAGATGACTGTGACGTTAACGTGTAAGCTCAATAATGCTCCAGCTCAACCAACCATATTGTAATATCTAACTAATCATCTTGAAATATGACATTAATTGTAATATACACACATCTTATTGTGAGGTTGATTTCACATACACTACTTCGACGTTAGCTTGTCTACATACTTGAGCATAGCCAATTTAAATTAACCTTAGCGATGCATACAGTTCTACCTACATAATAAAATATCTCTCTAAGTTACAAGGATGACCTTATTTTATCAACCTCAAGCAGAAGCCGTTTGTTCTACAGTATTATCCCACTTAACGCTTAACACTTGTCTATTTCGTTCTAACCTTTATATATACAGTCTATGATTTTAACTTGTAGGCTATGATTAGCATCGTTAGCACCGATGTAGCTACCACTCGCTTACAACTAAACCAAGCCTTAACATTCATTACGTAGCCGATTAAAATCATTAACACATAAATAAGTACTCGAATTTCACTTACCGCAAAACCGCATTCATGCACCGTCTGTTTTAACCGCAGAGCAAGTCACAATAGTCCGATATATAAGCATGAAGAACAAACAACCACGGCCGGCTATAAGTTGTGTTTCCTGGATGAACTGAGCAGGCAGAGTCCCTGTAGCTTCACGAAGCAGCTAGCAGAGAAACAAGAAGCTAACAGCAGCAGTCACTTGACAGAGCTGTCACTCAATGTGACCACGCCCTAATTTATGCAAAAACGTTAAGACCTAATATAAATAAAAGGGTCGTGTTAGAAAACAATTCACTCCCAGATCCATAATCATGAAGGTTGAACCTAACTATATTCATAATAATATTTATTGCTTCCATGGGTAGAAACATGTTTTTTTCTGCTGTAAAGTTGGGCATTTTAACATGGGGTCTATGGAAATTGCTCCTTTCTGCAGTCAGTCCCTATCGGCCAATATATGAACTGCAGTGTGTGGCACTTCCGTATTGGCGTCCCGGCTCCTCCCCAGAGTTTGCCGCTTGGTAAAAGCACATTTTCCGCTCGTGAGTAGCTTGTTTTACGCGCTAGAATATTGACCCAAATCTGACTCCATAATAAGGAGCTTTTTCAACAACAAGTTGGAGGGAGAGCTCTCTCCTGTCAGACTGAGAGTCTCAGATAACCTCAGCTCAGGTGAAGTAAAGGACTCTCAGTGTTTAGATAGTTAACTTTAGTCTAGTTATCTCAGTGGGTCTCAAACGGTTTGTTTTTAAAAGGGGAGTGATTTGTAAAATATCTATAAAGAAATAGAAAATCTGTTTACAGTTCTCTTTCATATGGGTGTTGTTGAGAGATGTATCCATAGATCTCTTAATGTTGCTCTCAAAGCGCACCAGATTGATGCTTTTAACTTAAATATTTTTTAAAAATCTTCCCGGGGAAGCATGCCCTCGGACCCCACTAGAGGAGGTGAGGTCCACCCCCCCACTTGTGAAAATAGCACTTTACCCCTGCTTACACCTATATGCCGTGAGCTGATTATCGAGCCTTCATTGTAACAGTCGCGGGTACACTGTGTGTGCGTGTGGGGAGGGTTGCAGTAGAACATTCAACTGTAGCGCTGGTGCATTAATGGGAAACCCTTAATGTTTGAGCACCCTCTATGAAACGTCAAGCTACCCCACAGCACCCTCTAGAGAAAATCTCTGGCGCCGCCACTGATCCCAACCCTTCATAGGTGTTTTATGTGTGAGAGACGGTGTTTAGTTTAAATTCATAAATGTCTCCATTTGAAGCACTTTACCAGATTGCAGTTTTTAACTTATTTGCATCTCTAGTTTCTTGGCATGTCAAAACAAAGAAAGCTCAATAATAAACTCAGTAAAATATACCAAAAGTCATATCTTCGTGTTATTTGGCACTTTAATCTTCGCTTTTATCAGCCTTGTCTTTTTTTCCTTGTCAGTTAAAATGTACATGTTAACACAGTTAACTTCTGATCAATGAACTGTAGAGGGCAGCAGTGAACTGCGGCTGAATGTAATACGTAGAAATGTCAAGAAGAAGAACCAGGTTACCAGAGAGCCTTGAAAGAAAGAGCTCGAAATATGAGACTTGGTGTAATGGTATTCATACAGAGACAAAAACGTTTACTAGGACTTGTTAACTACTAGAACTTGTTAAAAAAATTGCACTGTTTCTTCATAGCCCAATAACAAAGACCAAAACATATTATTAAAACATAATTTACGGAACTCATGTTCCACACGTTCACTTACAACCGGTGACGCCATCTTTCTTCCAGAGCCGTTGTCCTACTCAGTTTTTCTGGTGGTGACCTATCTTGCATTGCAAAGAGTCTTCACAATTACCCATAACTCCCCTGAAACGTATGACCTGTCTCTGGCCTTGGAGTGTGGCGCGGTGCTGCTAGTTGTCGGTCTCTCAGTGTGTGCTGGCTGTTGGACTTAATTTGTGCTAACTGTCTAGTGTTCCTGTCCGACAACTCCGCTAGTAATCTGGGGACCGTTACGGCGGAGCTGAGCAACAATGCTGAAATGTAGAACTGTATGGAAAAAGCTTGCACCACTTGCTAGAGCTTCATCCACGCTCTGCCGGCAGAATGTGAGGAGAACAGGTAAGTTAACTAACTAGTGTTAGGTACACTAAACTTGTCCTTGTGAGAAATGCAAACACTCATTTCGCGTGGCATGATATTGCACACTACGACAGAATATTAAACCAGAAGGGGTATTTTTTAGCTTAGTTTCTGTATGTTGACCTTCGTTTAGCTGTCACAAAGCTAACGTTAACTGAGCGAATGGCAACATTCAGGAGTCAATGACATTTTTATAACTGGGTTAGCTCAGAGCATATTGCGCTACAAAAGTTGTAGCCGTCACCTTAAGCCTGCTAGAAAACAGTGCTCAGTGAATGAATAAGAAATAAACGTGTCATTGTCGCATTATTTTTGATTCATTGCTGGTTTGCATTATGCTTTTTACAGATACTACGCCATAGTTTGTAGCCCGTCATATTTAACCATGCTTGCATAAGCCGAATTTGTTTTTGATCACGTGATCGTCCAGTTTATTTGACCCTGAAATAATTGGCACAATGTGTAGAACAGTGTGCTTCATCTTCAATGATGAAGGAAGGCAGCTATTATAGCCGGTTTTCAGTGGTGTAAAGTAACTAAGTACTAGTCTGTAGCGAAGGACAATTTTGAGAGACTTGTACTTTACTTGAGTGTTTCAATTGTTTTGCTACTTTGTATTCTACTACAGTTCAGAGGTAATTAGTGTACTTTTACTCCACTACATTTATTCAATGTTTTTAGTTACTTTGCACATTTGATTAAATGATGTGAAATATAATCAAGTCTTAAATCAGACTTTAGTTTCACCTGGAGTCATGTCCCATTTCAGAGTAATATATTAAACTGCTGGATTTGTATATCTTTTTTTTTTAGCTACAATCTGTTCATCACAGCCGGTGAAAGTGGTGCTGCTATTCATTACTTTATACATTGCTGCTGGATATTTAACTTACAACTATATAGCATAGTTTATTTATATCTTTATTTGCTAATAATCTGAATCTGTAAAGCAACTAGTAACTCATTCTGTCAAATGTAATGCAGTTGAGTAAAAGGTACAATATTGGCTTCCAAATTGTAGTAGAGTAGAAGTATAAAGTAGCATAAAATAAAAAGACTTAAGTAAAGTGCAAGTACCCACAATGTTTACTTTCGTACAAAACTTGAGTAAATAAATGTCACTACATTACACCACTGCAAAAAAGTAACATTCAACCAACTCTAAATAACCTGTCTCAGTCCTGAATATGATAAGTCAATAGTTCACATGTCCCGTTGTGCCCTAAATATGAAAAATAAACTTCAGTCTGGCATCATCCACGTGCAGTCTTTTTCACATGCCTAAATATGAATCATCAATGTTGGCCTACTATTAAGCCACTTAGGCTGGCCTACTTCCAGCCACCTGACATCATTTCTCTAATGCAAGTTTAACAACTCTTCACTAGATGCGTTAACATTCAGAACTTTAATTGATTTCCTCAGCCTGATCAACGTTTGCAGATTGGGCCCACAGGCTTTCAGTTTGACACCTACCGGTGTATATATACTGTAAGAGGAAAGTAGTTCATGAAATAGATGATCAAAAAGCGGATTCAAGCCTGTAAACTTAACTGAAATTGTGTCTGCCTTTTTGTATCCATCTTAAACAAAAGCACAAGGATTATTAACCATACATTTTCCCGCTTACTCTTGACATGTAAACTAAGATATATTATGACCTTGCAGTCAGCAAAGATCCTGTAGTGAGACATGATTATACTATGAGCATTTCCAAAATACTTATTATTAATAATGTTATTGACTGAATAATTAAGTTGAGCAAGTGTCATTGTCAGTCATATAGCCGTCACCTCATCAACATAAACAATAATGGAGAGTGTCTCTATGGGAACAGACCAGCTTTAGTTTTTCACCTTATACTCCACTTCCAAGATATCAGAATTGTGTACCTCTGGTTGGATGTAAACTACATTTTGTTGTCTTTGTTTTAGGACAATAAAGTTGAATCTAATCTAATCTAAAAAAAGATAGAAGCAAAGCATGTGTTTTAATAAAATACAACACACATTTTTAGTCATCCTTTATTTTGAGTCCTTACACACGATTTTCGGCCTTGATAGATGTCGGGCCGCCGATTCGACATGTTGAATTGGTAGGCTGTCGGCCAAAGAAATCACTCTGATTGGCTGTTGAGCTGGCGAATCAGTGCATGAGGAGCGAAATGGAAGTGAGGGACCCAAACAAACAATTAAGGCGAGACACGGCAGGCAAAAACATCGTTTTTCAAGTACTGGTCAATTTTGAGATTTTGTGCTATTTTGATTCTATAACATGTTTTCTTTCAGGCTTTTGGAAGGAAAACGTACAAAATACACATTTAAGTGTTTATTTTACTATAGTTTGTCTATTTGCGTCTGTAGATTTCTCCTAAATTCACCAAAAGTTAGCATTCTAACGTAACATAAAGTACCGCGACCGCTGTGTGCACCATGTCAACAGAGATATCGTTGGAAAGCTGTGTCTCTCCTGCACAATCTCATCAGATCCAAATATGGTCGTTTCCTTTGTATCAGCAACCAATCGTGAAAGCACAAAGGGGTCTTAAACCAAGAAACGAAATCTCATTGGCTGGTGTCAATTTCTGACAACGTGATTCGTTCAGATGCGTCACGTGGTGTGCTAAAACACTTCCTGGTTAGCTTTCCGCTAGAAATTGAAATCTCAAAATGGCAAAAGAACGGCGAAAAAAACATTCACAGAGAAGACGACAACAATTGTCACTTGCACGAAGCAAGATTATACAAAAAACAAATGACCCGAACATGAAATACCTTCATGGAGTGCGTCGATGCGCAAGCTATCATCCAAAGAACAGGAGGGTTTAGCTAGCGCCTCACTGCCATCTTTAAAGGTCGTTTTCTCAAAATAAGTTTTTTCTCCTACTCTGAGTTCGACATTTCAACTTCAGTAGCACGTACATACACCAAACCTTCCAGTTATATTCCTATCAATATTATGAAGGCTTTTACTGTAGGGTTTGTTCATATATAATTCATAGCCTGAATTATACAACATTGTATACCTAAAAACATGGCGAAAATGGATATTTTAGGGCTGTTGAGAGTATTTTCTGATTTATGGAGTGATAAAAAGAGATATCCAATATCCCTTCTGTAAAAGCCTTAGATACTAATATGACTACAAAATGAAACAAGAATTTTGAACCTGGCTATATCCAAAGTTCAGATTTCGATTCCTGAAATGTGTTAAAATATGTGCATATTTAATGAGATAATGGGTAATTTGCATATTTAAACATGCTATTTCAGAAAACTTGTAATACAAAAAACAATTGCCTTATTGTAAGTAATTAACTGGAGAAATTACTAGCTGATACCTTTAAGTTAAAAAAAATTACCCTATTCACCTGGGATGTCTCGCCTTAAGAAGGCAAATCTGAGATTTCATTTAACTCCAGCTCTCGACACAGGTTCGGGAAAGCCCCGTGAGCTTCTCGCTGTAGAGTGAAAATGGAACGCACACGCTATTTGTTGTTTGTTTATATCACGCAGTCTGTCTTCCGGTTGTTGCCTCTTTTGAATGACGAATACACACTACTGCCGTCTGCTGGTAAGGAGAGTTATTGCCACTCATGCATGCGCAGTTCGTACGTGCTTCTTGGCCGTCGGCTAAAGTCTTTGCGGTGTGTTCCAGTGCGACACATAGCCAAGACGCAGGAGGCGTGAGCCGACGTTCTGTCGGGACGTGTTCTTTGGTGTCAGTTTGGTGTGTAAGAGACTTAAAGGTCAGTTTAGAGTGAAAATGTGACAAAAAGAATTGTAATCATAATTGTAGAGCCATGGTTTAAAACTCTTCCTATGGAGATGTAAAGTACTGAAACCACGATTGACCTCTCTCTGTTTACTTTTGACCAATCTCAATGTCTGTTTTTCTCATTTTTGTTTTCAGCATTAAACAATGGCAGAACACCAGCATATGTGTCTGCGGCTCACATGTCCAGTGGGCCTGCAGGGGGAGGTCGTGCAAACCAGATGTATGTCCTTCTGGTTGGAGCAGCCTGCGTCGGGGGTGGAGTATACGTGAGTTGGTTTAGTCTGTCACAGGACATGCATTAAAAATCAGTGGAATTATCAGTGGAGGTCAGTGACGCAAATGCTAGTTGCTGACAACTTTTCTGTTTTTATCTCAGACATACCGAACTGTCAAGGGAGATGGCCAAAGATATCAGGAACGTATTGAAGAAATCTCCTCCCGACCAAATAAAACACAAGCCTCCTACATCCAGACAGAGCCTCCTGGTGAGCATTTTATATTAACTGATTTTAAGTGATGATGAAACATTGACCTTTTACTTAATTCCCTAAACAAGTCCAAATATATTCCTACCCGAGCCTGGACATTTCACTGTGTGTTTGGTCACGATCAATTAAGAATTTCCCTGTTTTGTTTTCCTGTAGCTGTGGAAGCCACTGAGACAGAAGGTGAGTGTTTTCTCTTTAATTGCTGAGTAGATGTTTATTTTAAGATTGCTATATCAAACTCCAACTCTGTTAATAGGTAGTAAAACTTATTATATTTGCTACAATGAACAGAGAGCTTGTGCTTAAGCGACAACATTCTTACGAACAATGCCTGTAAAGGTGACTTGGTGTTGGGAGTATAGTTGAAATCAGCTGACTCTGCACTGCATGGTGTAATTTCCTATTTCAATGTAAAAAGGAGCGATTGAGACCACTAAAGAAATTGTATTTGAATCTGTTTTGCGCTGGTTCATGAAAGCCCTATTTTGAATTAAAGGGGGGCAAAAATGAATGTCTTTTTTAAAGATAAATATTGAAAGGGGTTGAATAAACATGATTTCCGCAAGACTGAAAATTCTTTAGATATTTGTATTTTACTTTCTGCTGCCTGTATGTGTGTCTTCCGCAGTGTGTTTGTGGGTACCCTGTAAATAACTGGTTTAAAATGTAAACAACTTCATTTAAACCCTGCTCTTAATGTCACATAACACAAATGTAATCGTGTTTAAAATTAATCTAACTAATAATGTCATAGCTAATGAGCGATAGAATTACTAACAAAGCACTTATATACTAATAAAGGACTGGCTTATCTAAAGCCAGTTGAGTAGCACTTGAAATGTTTTAGCTCTATGAAACCTGGGGCCTGTACTACGAAGCTGGTTCAACCTAACCTGGATGTGTTTGAGTTAGCCGGTTGGCCTAATCCAAAACATACGCTCTCGCTAAACGGTAATACGACCCGTGTTATCAAGTGGATCGCTCAAGCCAGCCGTGTCCTATCTAGTTAGGTGCGCGTTCACATGAAAGGGGTGGTATCTGGAGCATTCAACCAATCACAGACATGGAGAAGCATACTGACAGCACAGCGTCATACTTCCTGAATGAAAAGTCAACTATAATATTAGACATATGAAGAAGTTAAACTTTAAACATCCATGACTTAAACACTTTATCCAGGATCAAAGCCACAGAGCTGCACCTGCAAGGTGAATACAGCTGGTAACAGAACAAGTGTTTGAATGCGTACATTAACAGGTTTATGATATCACTGCCCCGTCTAAAACACGATCTGACTTTAATTACATTTGTCTCGAGTGTTTCGTCAACTTAATGTGTTGCTTAAAATAATACTCATGCATACAGTATGTGACACTGAGTGTTGCACGGCCAGATACGGCTCAGCAGACTCAGATAAGGAAATATATGATACATTATGATGTGATATGCCGCGGACTGTACTTAATGTTACTCTGATCCGGTTACTTATGTTGTGGCAGATATTTAAGTAAGCTTTCTTAATGCTAATGTTATAATAGTCAGATTGCTCTGAAGATGGAGGTGATATTCTATTAATGTTCACGTTCACACAGTCTGTGATTTTCGCCAGCCGTCTTTCCTGCGACGGCAGCTTCTCTGTATTTCCTTTCTCCTGTAATATGACTTGATCGCTTTAAACTCCTCACACTGAGCTCTGATTGGTCAGCAGGCGGAGCTTTCACTGAGTTGATCTCTTAGCCTGCAACCTAACCTGGTCCCGACCAGGTTAGCCGCACAGCATAAGTTACCATGGAGATCTAGCCTGCTAAAAAGAGAACCAGCTTCGTAGGACCGGAAACCCGGAGTTTTCCCTGAAGTTAGCCGGCTAAGCGAAAATCCTGCTTCGTAGTATACCCCCCAGATGTACTTGTATGATTCTAGAATTCTTCAAGTTTGTATCGTGTTGGTCAAACGCACTTATTGTAAGTCGCTTTGGATAAAAGCGTCAGCTAAATGGTATGTAATGTTTGTTATTCTGATAATTTCTCTGTCAGCCGTCCCTGAGCCAGAACCTGAAGCAGCCCCTTCATCAGGAGAGCCGAGCCCTCCAGCCGCTGACGTTGAAGCAGTGATCCCCACTGAGACAACTGAAGCCCCCCCTGAAACATCTGAAGCCCCCCCAGGTTGTCTGCATACTTTTCTATATCCTGACATGCATGCAGAACATGGGCCTCCTGTATAAAGAATGCACTTGAACCAAAAACGAATAGGAGAATAGAAAACTTTAAAGCATGTGGAATATTGTGTGCTATACTCTGTGCACATAGAATACTTTAAAGAGAACTGAGGTGTTAGAAATGTTGCCCCCAGCTGGAAAAGCCATGTTACTGCAACACAACAAAAGCAGGCTGTAAAACGCACCTGGGTCATAAGATCCAAAAATGTAGACTTGTGGAATGTGTTAGGAGGGTTTCTATACATAACCAAAAAAGCCACAAATATGTTGACACGGAAGGACCCACCTGTCTTTGGGCTCCTCTTTACACCATGCTCATAACTGTCCCACAAAAGTAATATATTACAAATCACATTTCTTGGTGATGACGTGTTTTATACAGGAGGCCCTCTAGATATTTGATACGTGTATTGTCTGTGTGAGTATTGTCTCTGTTTACTGCATGAACTGTGCCGGTGTCCTCTTGTGGCATGTGTTAATTTTGTATTCACCTTCTATTTAGTGACGCAGGTGGCCTGTTCAGTATTTCCTGTTGGGTTTAATTTACTTTTACCTTCATATTAACCCTTTACAGATTGAATACAACTTTGTACTCTCACACCTATGACTTCCATTCTCACCTGTAAATATTTCTGTTTTTGTGGGACACAGTCGTTGGAGTTACAAATATCTTGGCTCCTAATTTGCTCTGATATATTTGTGATTTGAAATCGACCCTCCTCTCTGATGTTTTCTGTCAAAACGTGTGAAACTTTGTCTTGTGGGGTTGTGATGTTATATGTTGTGATATTTTTGCTGATGAGTGGAAGCTGCCCTTTGAGGTTAACTATTTCTCTTACCTCAAATGTTTACATCCTGTGTCCTAATTGCATAAAGTCCTCACAGCGGCTTCTAATTGAAACAGTAAGTCTTCAAACAGAATACAGGTTATTCTACTGCTGAACGTCTGTGTGGTAAGACATGCTTGAGTTATAATGAGCAGTGACATCATCTTCTTATGTACGAACTCCATATTCTCCCTTATGCTAAACGTTTGCTCTGTAGAGGTTAACCACACATTGGGCAGCTTCCACTTGTCTAAGTGTGCATGCTCTGCATATTGTTCCCAGGGTGGATCGGAGGAAACGCATGGATCTTGTTGATCTTCCCCGTTAATAATCTTATAAACTCAATTTAATCTTAACCCGTTTATGAACAGCAGAGGAGCCAGTGGTAGAAGTCCCCCCAGAGGAGGCAGCAGAACCCCCTGCTGCTCCTGTAGTTGAGGAGGGTAAGAAATGAGGACAAAAGATACTGTGATCTAATATATTTATTCATTCTATCTTGAATAATGGATACATTCTTAGTCCACGAACAATTTTCTCAACCTATCGATGAGTTAACTAAAGATTTTCTCCATGAAGCAAAAGCAACACTTTAAATATTTTGCCTACCAGAGAACTTTTTCATAAGTTTCTTGGAATTAAGTTATTAAACATAAAAACATATAGGAAAAAAGGGGCAGCCCTTTGTGTTGTTGGTATACAACAACCAGCAGCAATAGGGAACTGCTGTCAATAAATTGCAGTCTGTAAAGGACACGAGTGACAGTTTGAAGAGCCATGGGGCCCCGCCAAGCTGCTTCACAGAGCACTGTACACTTTAAAGTGTATTGATATTAATCGTGCTGTTCTACACTGCACATCGTGTCCCTAGCCATACAATGTTTATTTCCAAAAATACTTAATTGTAGAAGTATTTTGCTAGTGTTTAGATGCTTTTATCAGGCTATACATCATGGAGCTAAACTCTTATTCATGGTGACAACAACAATCATAACCAAGTCGCGGCTACCTGCATTATGTAACTGTGCCACTTTACTACCAGAACCATCAGCAGCAGAGCCAGTGGTAGAAGCCCCCCCAGAGGAGGCAGCAGAGCCCCCTGCTGCACCTGTAGTGGAGGAGGGTAAGAGAAGAGACAATACTCTGATTTCATTCATCGTATTGGAAAGATAATAAGGTGCCATTTAGTGCTTTTCTATCTGACCTGAGTCTGTAGACGATAACACCCTGCAGTTCATCTTAATGAAAATAACCCTACAGAGAAATACAACTCGATTTTCTTTAGCCTTCCCTTGATCTGGTCTGTTAGTCTTGTTTAGAGAAGTCTCGTACTGAAATCTCACACTCTCTCACATGGTTGAAAGCAACTATATACTTAAACATATTTCTTTACGTTAACAAACTTTAAGAAAACCAGAACTCTGCGCCAATTCTCACTCACATTCTCACCGCGGTTTTATCTGTTGGGTCGTTTTCAAAATGTTTTCATATACATATAAAAACAATGCCCTGTGAAATGACTTTGCAGGTTATTTAGCAACTGCAGCATTTCTTGCGCAATATTGGACGAATTTAAAACATTGTTCCTCAATACCGCTTAGTACGGTGGCCCTGAAGTGCAAGACACCACAGCATTTCAGAAAACACCACAGCATTTCACATTGGATGGAAAGGGTATTCCTTAGGGAGAACACTTCTTGTTTGTGATTGGACAGAGCCAGCCATAGAAGCACTGCTGTGGTTGGTTGTTTTTGCTGCCAGTCAAGAAATGAGGCTTCGTGATTGGCCCAACACATCAGCCGTTAGCTGTTAGCACACACTCAGAGCTCACAGCTCCTCATATCTGTTCAGAAACTGGACAACAGTTAAAGATATACAAAACACAGACTGTCATGGTGAATACAGTCGCTGCTTTATTTATGTATGTATGACGTTGTTGTGAGTGTGGACGGAGCAGCTACAGGTTAGTTTAGCCTGATCGATCCGATTCCGATAGGATTTACATGGAGATACGGCCCGCCCCCTCTCCAGCGTCTTGTTTGAATAACAGGAGTAAACACAGAATGAATGCTTTATTAATTCATGGTTTTTAAGGGGCTTATCTCCATGTAAATACTATGGTAGACCACCCAATATTCGCATCGCTCTAATCGCTCGAGTTTCACCGCGGCTGTCAGCTGTGTTTGCTCCTGTCATTCAAACAAGAGGCGCTGGAGAGGGGGCGGGGCGTATCTCCATGTAAATCCTATGGGAGATACCAACTACAACAAAATGAACATATTTGACCGTGATTTAATTGTAATACACGTTTCAAAGTGATGCCGATCGTAACTACATACTGATAACGGTTAGTAAAAACCATGAATTAACGCTTTGACAAGTCTGCAGATAAGACGGCATGCGAAAAGCTTTTAAAATGCGTGTTTTCTTAATGGAATCGGATCCATCAGGCTAAACGAACCTGTTGCTGCTCCGTCCACACTCACAACAACGTCATACAGACATAAATAAAGCAGCAACTGTATTCGCCATGACATAGACAGTCTGTGGTTTGTACATGTTTAACTTGTGTCCAGTTTCTGAACAGATATGAGGAGCTGTGAGCTCTGAGTGTGTGCTAACGGCTGATGTGTTGGGACATATTTCGCTGTCGGGTGCTGACCAATCACGAAGCGTCATTTCTTGACTGGCAGCAAAAACAACCAACCACAGCAGTGCTTCTCTGGCTCTCTGTCCAATCACAAACAAGAAGTGTTCTCCCTAAAGGAATACCCTTTCCGTCCAATGTGAAATGCTGTGGTGTTTTCTGAAATGCTGTGGCGTTTTCTGAAATGCTGTTGTGTCTTGCACTTCAGGGCCACCGTAGCTTAGTCACTGAAACACAAAAAATATAGGGGCTATGTTAAAAAAATATTCAAGTTACCCTGTAAAGATGTCCTAACGATATTATCAGTAATTCATACCAGTCATTCTGCAACTCTGCCACTATACTAGCAGAACCATTCGCCCCCTCTGAGCCCCCCCCAGCCGAGCTAACAGAGCCCCCTGCAGCTGTTGAGGAGAGCGGTAAGCAGCCTCAGTCTGACCTCTGCATGGAACCAGTACATTTACCGCCTGTGAGGGTTTGTTTTCTCTTAACCGGTTGTTGCTCCGGTTACACTAACAGAACCTACAGCAGCAGCAGCAGCAGCAGAGCCCGCCGAGCCTCAGCCTGAAGCTGTGGCAGAGAGCGGTAAGACCAACGAGAGGACGGAGCGGGAAGCGCTTTTCCCATTTCAAAGACTTTCTCTCCTATTTCTTGTTTTAGCATTTATCCCTCATTACAGCTCTTCTCCCTGCCTGTGTTGTGTTTTTACATTGCATGGATAATGATAAAGGTGAACACACGAGTAACATGTTAAGGATGTTTTATGCAGGAGGCTGCATGAACCTCGACCTCGGTGCAGACACTGACACTATTTCCCATTTTGTTAATTTCAAACACCTTCTCTCCTGTGTATTGTTTTAGTATTCATCCCTCATTACAGATCTTCTCCCTGCCTGTGTCTTTTATGTTTACACTGTTCGGGTACTGGTAATGATAAAGGTTAACACACATGAGTATTTGTTAAGGATGTTTTATACAGGAGGCAGCTGCAGTTGATTGCATGAACTTTGACTGTGCCCTCTTGGTGCATGTATGACTTTGTATTTAGTGATACATCCTCTAACCTTAACCCTTTTCAGTTTCAGTAGATCTTTTGACACTCACGCATACTCACCTCGTTCTGAAATGGTTTTGTGGGATATAGTCGTTAGAATTGTCAGTATTTATTACAAATATCTTGGCTCCTGTTGGCTTTGTTATATTTGTGATTTAGAATGTATTCCTTCCTCTTAAGACTGTTTCCAAACTAACTTTAAGTGATAATATTGTTTATAAGTGAAAGTTGCCCTTTAAGGTGGATATTGTGTTTTACCTCTAAACATATTGTTTTTGTAATGCTCTGTCTCAGGGGTAAAAAGTCTTTACAGCAGAGAAAAAAAACCGTACAGAAGTTATAACTCCTTACTCTTCTCGATGTACGTCTCTGTAGAGGTCACCCACACATCGGGCAGCTTCCACTTGTTATAAGTGTGCATGCTCTGCCTAATGTTCCCAGGGTGAAGCGGAGGAGGTGCATGTATCCCGACGGTCCTCCCCTTTTTAATAATTGAACCCGTACTATTGATTGCCCTAACAGCAGCAGAGCCAGTGGTAGAAGCCCCCCCAGAGGAGGCAGCTGAACCCCCTGCTGCTCCTGTAGTGGAGGAGGGTAAGACATGAGATGAGAGGACACTCTGATCTAATTCATTTATTAAAAAAATGACGAGTTGCCATTTACACTTCTGCTTTCCCATTTGACACCAGTCTGTGCAGTAGATAACACTACAGCTCAGTTAAAGAGTAACTAAGGGTTTATTTCAACTTCAACCCTATTTTTCTAATGGGGACAACAATTTAGCAGATTGCAGCCATTAAGCTGTCTGCAATACAGAGTTAATGTGTAAAATGGATTGTTTTTGCCACTGAAGAGTTCATATTCCTTTTTATAAGTGTCTCACAACTTTATGGAAAGGACCCTGCAGAGGAGTTTTTCATTGCTGTCTTTCCGGCTACAAGTCACATGACACAATGACAAACATTTATTTATCTCAAGGGTCCTTTTACATAATTATGTCAGACGCATGTAACAACACTCTTGACACAAGTGATTACATTGCAGCTCATATAGCTGCTGCAGCATTCTCGATTCGGACTAGTTAAAAAAAAATATATATTGTCCCCTTAAAAACAAAAACATGGTAAAATAGGGTCCATAGTAATCTGTTGTTACCATTGAATGCATATTGTAGATAATATCTCTTGTGCATATCAGAGGTCATTATGTAACTCTGCCACTATACTAGCAGAACCCTCCGCCCCCTGTGAGCCCCCCCCAGCCGAGCTAACAGAGCCCCCTGCAGCTGTTGAGAGCGGTAAGCAGCTTCCGTCAGACCTCTGCATGGAACCAGTACTTTTACCGTCTGTGAGGGTTTGTTTTCTCTTAACCGGTTGTTGCTCCGGTTACACTAACAGAACCTGCAGCAGCAGCAGCAGCAGCAGAGCCTCAGCCTGAAGCTGTGGCAGAGAGCGGTAAGACCAGCGAGGAGGACTGAGCGGGAAGACACTGACACTATTCCCCATTTTGTTCATTTCAAACACCTTTCCTCCTTTTCATTGTTTTTAGCATTCATTTCAGATCTTCTCCCTGCCTGTTTTTGTGTTTATAAATTGTTTGGGTAATGATAAAGGTTAACACACATGAGTAACATGTTAGGGTTGTTTCACTGTGCCCTTTCGGTGACACTATTTCCCATTTTGTTAAATTTCCCTTCTTTTTATATTTGTAACTTTCTCATTGCAGCTCGTTCGTGTATTCCTCACATTGTTTTGCTACTTGTAATGATAAAGGTTAATCTCACTCACATTCATTTCTTTAATTTCTTTTTCCATTTACTCCTTTCAGGTGTATTTGTGTGTAGTGATGAGCATCTAAGAATATGGACTGACTGTTTCTCTCTCTCATTCACACTCCAGGAGACTCTGCAGCTGCCTCTCTCAAGGTCCCCTCACACGCCCCCTACCTCCTTATTGGAGGAGGTACCGCCTCCTTCGCTGCCGCCCGGTCTATTCGAGCCAGAGACCCCGGTGCCAAGGTCAGCATTCAGTTCATCATTTACCTTGTTGTTCCTCAATTACATTTGTTGTTTTGTTTCTCATGTACTCTATCTGGCTTTTTACATTTATTCTTGCCACCAGGTGCTGATTGTGACTGAAGAGCCAGACGCTCCATACATGAGACCCCCTCTTTCCAAAGAGCTGTGGTTCTCTGATGACCCCAGTGTGACGGAAACACTGCGTTTCAAGCAGTGGAATGGAAAGGAAAGGAGGTGTGTTCCTGTGTGGTTTTCTTTCCGTTCCTTTCCCTGTGCCTTCCTTACAGTCTGTCTCTCTGCGGTGATAAGTGGTCATTACAATCTGTGTCTTACTGGGACATCTCTTCACTTTCATCTAAAACAAGGTGGACGTCCTTGGTCATTCGGAGTACTAAACTCTGTATACTAACTTCCCACTGTACATTTGTATTGTCATTTTATATATAAATATGTTCTAAGATGGTTATACCTTTTGTGTTTCCTTTGCCAGTATCTTCTTCCAGCCACCATCATTCTACATCACTGCAGAGGAATTGAGTAGTGCAGAAAATGGCGGAGTGGCCATTCTCACAAACAGAAAGGTTTGCTTTATTTGTTTTCCTTCCACAATCAGAAACTAGGATATGCTGATGTTTTGATCATTTACAGTACACCATAGCAGTATTTACACCAATGGGATTTATGTTATTCATTTAAATGTACCTTTTCAGTGTATTGCGATTTCTGTCCACAATGTCTTCATCTATTTCAGGTGGTTCACATGGACGTGAGAGGAAACAAAATCAAACTGGACGATGACACTGAGATTTCATACGACAAGTGTCTGATTGCTACTGGTAAGCCTCTTCAAAATGCATTTATTACCATGAGTGGTTTAAACCTGGTGCAAGCTCATTTGAACTCTTTGCTTCAGGTGGTGTGCCAAGAAATCTCCAGGTCATTGAAAGAGCAGGAGAGGAGGTGATGCAGAAGACAACGTTGTTCCGCAAGGTCAGTGTGTCGCCACAAGGGGGCAATGACTTAGTTTCAGCCCCCGAAGGTCTGCGTAATTGAATGAAACACAGACACATTTTAGTTGTGGGAGTTAAAGTGAAGATAGACCTTGAGGAGAAATACTCTGTGAATTCCTCAAAATACTTTTTTTGTTTAACTTTATAAAAATGTAAAAACAGCAGGAAATGCAGATGCTTGCCCGGCTAATATAATACCTTAATTGGCTGCAGTTGGTTCAACATTGTCATTAGTTGTCCCACTATTTCTTATGGTTCAATAATTGCAGTATGATTTAATCTGCTGGAACATCTTACCCATGTTGGCTCCAACACTATCAACCTTTATCCCTTAACGTCAAACATTTACTTTAAGCTGTTACTTTCAGTAGGCTAATTGTCAGTCTAAAGTATCTATGTATTTTTACTTTTGTTGGTTTTGGTTGCATTATCATTGGACTAATGTTTCATTATCATTCAATTTGATTATTTTTGGTTTTAATAATTGTTCCTGTTTATTTGCTGATCTTTAGAACTATTTTAAGTCCTAACACAGATAAGTTAACACACTTGTATAAGGCCACGTTTTTGTCTTGGTAACTGTTTGGTATATCACTACCACAGTAAAAAATGTATATTTTAAATACGTGTTGCTGTATTCTGCAGATCGAGGACTTCAAAGAACTTGACAAGGTCTCCCGAAACGTCAAATCCATCACTATCATCGGAGGTGGATTCCTGGGCAGTGAGCTGGCCTGTGCCCTCGGCAGGAGATGTAAGACGGCTGGACGAGATGACAAATGACAGACCTATATAACTTCTGAAGTTAAACAGTTTCTCTGTTTGATTACTCAACCGTATCCTCTTTGTCCCTTCTGTAGCATCAGAGTTTGACCTGGAGGTGATACAGATGTACCCTGAGAAAGGCAACATGGGAAAAGTCTTGCCTGAGTATCTGAGCAACTGGACAACAGAAAAAGTCAAGAGCGGTTCGTGTCCCTTTGTCCAACACCCTGAGAAAAACCTAAACAATTCTAATCTACTCATTTCTTCTTTTACTAAATATTGTTCCCTTTGCCTTTCTAGAGGGTGTGAAAATAATCTCAGAAGCTTTGGTGAAATCTGTGGTCTCCAAAGATGACCAGTTAGAAATCCAGCTGAAGGATGGCCGATTGGTATGTCCAGGTTTTCACATGGTAATACCATAGAAATCCAGGAAGTGACTTATTAGTTACTGATATCTCTTGCTTCACCATGCAGGTGAAAACGGACCACATCGTGGCAGCTGTTGGCCTGGAGCCCAATGTGGACCTTGCCAAGTCAGCAGGTCTGGAGGTGGACTCTGACTTTGGAGGCTTCCGGGTCAATGCAGAGCTGCAAGCTAGATCCAACATTTGGGTGGTAAGTTAATGATCAGAAGTATTCCAGTAGTGGTCATTAAGATTATGACTTTCTGAAAGTGACCCCACATTCCAATTTTAACAATATCCTATCTTTAAAAAAACTGAGACTCGTGATAAGTGGACAAACTTCCTAGTTGATTAAATGATACATCCAGGCTTCTCTGTCAAGTTTTTGGGTCTTAGTTGAAAAATACTTCTTTAATCGATAAGACGCAAGCAGTTAAGAAACCAAAACCTTTTTACAACAGTCCTCTTCTCTTCTTGAGAAAATAAAAGATGGTGGCAATATACTTCTATCATTAATAGACAGTGCAATTAGATTGACTTTATTCATGCTGACTGAATGACTTCTGTGCACACTTCTTGAAAACTTGATTTAAAGTGATTATCTTGCATGATAGGGATCAGATAAACTCATTTTTATACATTTGTTGATTTAGATCAACTATGAGAAATGGTATTTGTCGTGTGCTTTTTGAATAGGACAAACATTTATTTCCCCACTGGTAATGAGTTGAAAAGAAAAAATATTAAATAAATACAATTTAAAATAAATAATAATACATCATTGAAACACGGCGATTGTTGTATCAGACACTTTTAATGAGTTGAAAGAAAAAAAACTAAATATATCAAAGATTTTAAATATTCATAGGAAAAGCCAAATTCACTGTGCCCGAAATAGGAGTTCTTCAGTCGTATCTTTTATCACAGTTTCCCCTTCAGGCAGACTCGGGCAACAATGCACCTCTGTTGTAGTAGAGTTAGATATTTTAATCCATCTCCTAAATCCTTTGTCTCTGGATTCAGGCGGGAGATGCTGCGTGCTTCTACGACATCAGACTGGGCCGCAGACGGGTGGAGCACCATGATCACGCCGTGGTGAGCGGGAGGCTCGCAGGGGAGAACATGACCGGAGCCAACAAACCATACTGGCATCAGTCCATGTTCTGGTGAGTGAGGGCTACTCCCCATGTCCTGCTACTAATGCTAACACAAGGTTATCATGGGTCACAAATTCAAAGCATTTTGCATATGAGAGCTGTAGCTGCAAGCCATGAGAGCAGCTCTAAATGGAAATGAGGGAGAAAGCGTGGTTCAGTCTGAATTGTTAAATGCACGGGTTCACATCCATTGAATACATATGCGGCCACTGTGGCAACATGTACAATTCTACAAACGATTCAGATTAAATCCATTTAGAAGTCAGATGTATGCATGATTGCCTTCAAGTCTTGAATACCATTAAGTTCTAAAATATTTAAACCGCCTTTAGAGGACATTAGTAGGGTTTTTTTTTCTTTACTCAGCCTCTTAAATGTACCATCTTTCTTAAAAAACACCTACCAGATATTCGGGGAGATCTCAAAACTTGAAGTACAGTGTGGAATATGGCCCGCACTACACGGATAAATGATATGAGTGCATGTTTTTAACAGCTGGTGAAATATGACACACTGCTGACATCATGGGTTCCCTGCAGTCCCAAATAAATCACAGGACCATGAGTCAAATAGTTGTGACTTGTGCACCAGCAGATGTGGTCAGATGATGTGTCGATGTTCCTCTGAATGGCTGTGAAATGTGTCTGCAGAACGAGGCTGCTGAAATGCCTCCTGGGTATCACACGCATCACCTTTTTAATTCAGCAGCAGTGCACAGTTTGTTTATTTAAATGCAGTTTTGAATTGTCTGCCTTTTTTAAGGGGACCCAGAGTTTGGGTCAAAAAGTGTGGGATCATGGGAGTTTTAGTTTTTACCACCATTGACTCCAACGTTGCGTTAAATATCAAACACATTGACGGTGAAGTACTACATGTGAAAACGAACATACAACACATTTCAGATACATTTTAAATGGTTAAACTAGCTATTATAACAAACTCTGTAACTTTACTGTCCTTTTATATGGATGAATATTTTGGCGCAAGAAAACATACTGAAGTTCTTATGTACATTATCTGTCTCTGTTGCTAACCTAGCACAACATAAAAAGCCCATCATCTGCCCTACACATTCAAACCTCTCTCTTTATGTGTTCTCTGTGAGCTTCTGAAATCTGTGTTGTACCCTTAATCAAACTTGATCCAGGTCACAAAGTTTCTGTGTTGGGTCCTTACATTTGTGGGAAATAAGCCTTTGAATTTGATGAAGAAGGTTTGGAAACCCTGTTGAAGCCTTTAGCATAAGTCTTAGCACAGCAGCACTGAAACAGGTTTACAAAAATGTTTCAATAGCCTTAGGTTTGAATATTGATTTAGTGTGCAGGCTCTCAGAATGACCGCAGCAAGTCATTTGTTAAAGAGCAACTTGCAGGTTTTACTAGATTTATGCTTAACCTTGCCTGAAAATTACAATTTAAAAAAAAAAAAAAAGTTAATGCAGGATTTGATATGTTTTACGAGACATAAGGGCAAGAATTCAGAGGGAAAGGAGCCGTTTTGAGCTCTGTTACTAAAAACTGCTTTTTTTAAACGTCATACGTCAAACGCGTCATATTACGACTTTCTCGGACTCCTTCTCTGCCCAATCCGCGGTAGTAGTTGGTAGTTGGTTTGAGCGGTTGTGATTTAGTGAGCTGGTATTTTTTCAGTAATTTTACATTGCATTTCACCATTTGTAATCATGGTGAGCTGGAGTTTGTGCAGGTTGCACAAACTCCAGCCTGTCAGGACATCGAGTCCACAGTCCACCTCTCTTAAAGAGCACCTTCGGGGGAGAGCATTGCAAAACTGGCCCCGGTAATGGTACAAATCTCAACCTGTCGTTCAATGGACAGCTTCCCCCCCCCCCATCTATGTATATACTCGCATTTTAGACTCTGTTACTAACTGTATATCTGTAGACTTGGTATGTCTTAAATGTCCGGTTAGGATGTATTAGAACGAAATCTAAAATGAAAATTGTAAACAAGCAATCTGTATGTAAAAAAACCACCTGTATGTAAATTGTAAATAAGCCATCTGTATGTCAAATATGTCTTATATGTCTTAAATGATATGATGAATTGGAAATGGGGGACCCTGATGTAAACAAGACGAAAGTCTTTCTCTGGTCTGCATCCCCTTAACAATTGTATGTTTTGAGCTGTACTGTACTGTACCCAATATACAAGCTGTTAATAAACTTTTCAATCAATCAATCAATCAATCAATCAATCAGTTTCCCTAACAGGAAAAGGACCGAGCTAGCTTCGTTCCTTCCTGGGTGCGAGGTGCATCCACCCCCCTGCAGCACATACTCTCCACAGCAGAAGCCTATCAAACAAAACGTTTATCAGGAAACCGTATTACATCTCTCTCCCCCCTTCGCCCCTCTCTCTCTCCCCATTCGTTCCTCTCTCTCCCCCCCCTTCGCCCCTCTCTCTCCCCCCCCTTCGCCCCTCTCTCTCCCCCCCCTTCGCCCCTCTCTCTCCCCCCCTTCGCTCCTCTCTCTCTCTCTCCCCTCCGGTACACAGCACCGTAAGACGTAGTGTTTTCAAATTAGGTAACGCGAGATACGGCTGATACTTGCGCATTAGTTTCTGTTATGGATCAGTATCAACAGTCCTGCCAGTAACGTTACTATATTATCAATACTACTTTAGTTATAGCCTGATATATGATTGCTAACTTTACAATGTTGTGATGTGACTGACGTTAGCTAACATTAACTGTAGCTAACGCCGGTCACTCACCAAGACAGCTGCTCTGTTCTCCACCGGTTCTCCTCACACCACAGCTCCATTTCTCGCCGATGGCCGTTATTTCTTCTAATCCTTGGCTGCTCCTGGTCTCTTGGACGCCTAGCAGGCTCATCATTATAAGGTTGTGGTCCGTCATATGCATACGAATATACATTTTCAACCTCTTCTGTGTCAAAACTAGCATCGTGAACCATGTTTATTAATACGTTAGACCGGCCGCTCTCCCCCATGTGATGTCACACGCGGGTGGTCTTTTTTTATGCGGAAGTAAAAATGTCTTACAAAAACTACGCCAGATGTCACTGTAGTATATTTTTAGAAAATCTAGTGTATGCATCATTTTCCTACACATGTATTCACTGGGGTCTCTAACCTGCAAGTTGCTCTTTAAGGGACATCATTTATGCGGTGTTGGTGAGGGGGTTATCACCAATTTCACATTTCGTGTGACAAACAAACAGTTGAAGCTGTTTTGACAGTTTTAAATCTAAACGTTTCTTTCGGTGGACGATAAACTTCAGCAGAACTATTTTAACAGAAGTTTGCACAATCATTTTTTATTTGTTTAGAAAAAGTAGCATGTTTAACTCATGTGTCAACTCCTAGTGGCTCCATCTCAGAATGAGTCAGCCGTCTGAGGGCACCGGTTTACAGTCAGACTCACAAATTGAGACGTTTCTGAGTGTAGCTAGATACAAAATGAAACTGAAACCCAAACAGCTTTCAGTAGATTCTGCATTGTTGGAGGACAAAGTCACTGCAACCCCCGACAAATCGTTCTCGGACATAACTTAAGATCACATATGCTTATTGTGAGTCTTTCCGACAAATACCAAATAGGATAAATGATGAAGGGAGGATATTTTGGATTATGGAGCCTTTTAAAAAAACAAAAACTGCAACTTGGAGAATGCTTCTTGATCTGAAATCTTTGATTTAACGTCTTCATCAATATGTTTCCCAATGTCCTTTTCTCTCAGGAGCGACCTTGGGCCTGATGTGGGCTACGAGGCCATTGGGATCGTTGACAGCAGCCTACCAACAGTAGGAGTGTTTGCCAAAGCCACTGCCAAGGATACGCCTAGAGCTGCCACAGAGCTGTCAGGTATTTCAGAAGTATTGATCAAATATAAAAAAACTGAATTTGAGGAACCATGCTAAGATTAAGGTTTATCCATTTAATGTATGACAGGAACTGGAATCCGGTCAGAGAGTGAGACAGAAGACACAGCCACCAGCCCAGTGGCCTCCTCCACGCCCGCTCCCTCTGGATCCCACAAAGACGAGTACGGAAAGGGAGTCATCTTCTACCTGAGGGACAAGGTGGTGGTGGGCATCATCCTGTGGAACGTGTTCAACAGGATGCCCATCGCTAGGAAGGTACGTCACTGTTAGAAAAATGCTTTGTGTCTTATAAGGATTCAAAATCTTGTTTTGGTTCAGCAAATCGGCCAAAATCAGCAACCTAATTTGTCTATAGTCGCCTTTTAAAAATATATATACTGCTTCTTTTTTTACCATGGTGTACGTACAGTATCACTTTTTCTGCACTAAACTTCTGCTGTTGTAATAATGTACATTTCCCCCTTGCGGGACAAACAAAGGAATTCTGATTCTGATTGTGTTCTGTAAATCTTTTTGTAGATCATCAAGGACGGCGAGGAACACTCAGATCTGAACGAAGTTGCCAAACTGTTCAACATCCACGACGATTAAGATGGCCGCCACTTATGAAAGCAACGTTTCATGTTAAAACTGAACTTTGGCAGGCATTGCCTCACTCTTGAAGACACAACCGATCACACAAGAAAAAACAACAGCGTTCATGTAAATGATGTCATGTCGCTGAAATGTGTTTCATAAATGGGAATTTCTGTGTTTCACCCGTTTGCGCTTCTTTTTCTATCCAGGAAAAATCATTGTCTTCTTTTCCACCCAAAACCTTTGCTCGTGTTTAGAAAAAACCCCAGATGTGATGTGCCAGTAGTGTCATACCAGTTTGCACAAATGCTGAGCGTGGAATATTGTGTTTCTGTGTGTGATCAGAGCAGCTCGTCGTCAGAGAAGCTGCAATAAAGGCTATTTTTAAATTGGAGCGATCCCATTATTCTTATTTTGCTCGCAGATAGTAACTCTGATGACGGATCAGTTGAAGGGCATTCTGCGCTCTGTGTGCTTGAGCTCATCTGTCCTCGAGCATTTTCATCATCGCGAGCTGTTTGGAAAACTGACTTCAGTCATTCATGTGACCGATAGTGATTGCACAGTTTAACATGGAGAGGTGAAGTTAAAGGTCTACTGTTGCCTCAGATAAAAGCACTGTACTCCGGCAGTTGTATAAAGGGCACCTGACATGTATGTCTACATTTCACAGTTTATTTAATTAAGCAAATGTGTGCTCCAACAACTTGGCTTACTTATCCTGTCCGGAGGTAAAGATGTTCAAGCATGCAGAAACATTGCTGTTTTTGTTGTTGTTTCTGCTGTGGGCTTCTTGTTATTAGGATTGCATTCATGTTTGCATCCCCACACATTTCTTATCCTTTTTGACACTTTGGTGTGGTGAACAGCGTCTCAAGTGTGAGGCGGAACACGTGCAGCCATAACGTCCCATCGCCCATCTTTGACGTTAATTTAAATGATGTAAATGGATGAACTGCCTCCCCCTCTGTACGGAGGAATAAACATGTGCTTCCACATTTGTATTTTAATTCGCCTGGCGATCTGAGGAGGAAATAATTAGACGGGGCAACATGGGACAGTTCTGCTTAACATAAATAACCTCTGGATCTTAGCTGACACTTAAAGGAACGTCTTACACTTGAGTTAGTCGAGATATATATATATATTAATTTCATATTTATCATATATTTAATGCAACGACAATCTGGCTTTACACTTTGCTGCTTTTTCTTTGAATATGTCCTAAATAGGAGGATGTGATTAAGCATGTTTTATAAAGACTATTTAGTCTTAATTTAAATGATCAGATCTCTTCTGTAAACGAGTGCACCCTAAAGGACATTATAAACCATGTTGTTTTTTTAAGTGAAATGTAGAATTGACATACATGTAAATCATTTTAAGGACAATAATCTATTTGGAAAGAGGGAGATTACACTTTTTTCTAGATTTAATGTATTAATCTCTTGCAGTGCTTTGTCATTACTCAGCAATTGTTGGACATTAGTTAAACAAGATATACATACAATAATGTTTTATTTTATCTTTAAATATTGTATTCTTATAAATAGTTTAATTCTAATGCAAAAAGTATTACTGCTAATCTGATGCCCTGGTGGGAGGGGGGATGCTGGCCACTCTGGAAATGCTCCTGTCTCTTTAAATATTCTTGCAGTAATTCCTTGAACATGCACATGGCCATGAAAAAGAGATACAGCTTGAAGACATCCACACAAACCCAGGCTTTGTGAATAATACAGCAGCTGCTTCCTGTGTTTTACACCTACAGAGAGGGAGGAGGAGGAGAGAACACACTGTCAGTCTGAGGAGCAACAACTCGGCTCATCTTCTTCCCTCCATCGCTCCTACAGCTGTTCTTTCTACCAACTTAAAATGCTGTTGCACATCTGGTGTACAGTTTGGGCTTCTTCTCTCGTTCTTCTGCACAGCAGGTAAGATACTTTGTTAACCTTGCTAAACTTATTTGTTGGTGAAAGCTGTATGCATTTTAATCAGCCGTTGGAATGTTAATACATGGGTGTGTGCTGTATTTTCAATGCTTTGACATTGACGGGTATATAACTAAAAATAATAAGGAATAAGATGTTATCGTTAAATTGAGATGCATTAAATGTTTTGATTTAAAATACAAAGACTACAAAATGTTGATTATTGTGAGATGCAGGAACATACTGAACAGCCAGAAAAGAAGATCATTCTTAGTTTTTAAGACGTGTGCTGAAGTCATTTCATAAATAATCTGACCATTTTAACTTTGTCTATAATTATGCTAAAATGTAAAATAGTGAAATCATAAATGTATTTTTATATACAGTTTATTACAAATGTATTAACAGTTGAAATAAACATGTTTTGTAACTAATGCAGTTGTAATGCATGTGCTGTTCCAGCTAAAGTCATATTATTTAAATAAACATATTTAGCATCGTTTATAGTAAGGTATCTTTCCAAAAGTAACATTTGAGTTATATAATACGATTTACCCCAAACAATATTTAGTACTTGTAATACATTTTGAGTTTTTTATATTATAAGTGTGTTTATAAATCAAATGTATGATTATGAGCATATCCGGATTTACATTTTTTTATTTTAAGTAATGACATAAATAAAGAGCATAGGGGGAAATAGTCATGTATTATTGATAACAGTTTGTCCCGTCGTCCTGCAGGTCTGTGCTCTGTAAGGAGATTAAGCTCCCCAGCAGGGCAGCCAAGCCCCCCTCTCCGTCTGGCTTTCTGGACAAACTGATGGGACGCACATCCGGCTACGACGCCCGCATCAGACCCAACTTCAAAGGTAAGGCTGTGTGGCGTGGGGGCTCGACATGACAGGTGTGGGGAAACGGTGATTTTGCGGTGCAATCTGGGCAGTGAAGTAGCACAAATCCCCCACAGATGGGCGGAAGTAAGAGGTGCTGCAGGCTTGTGTTTGTCATGTGTGGTTACTGTTTTCATTCTGACCCACAGCCGTAGGTGATGATTATTTTACACTGACTTCTCGTTGAGATTTGTCATAGATGTGCACTTCCCCTCATATGTTACCCCACAGGCCCATTTCAGTCCAATGCAGATCCTCTCTGACATACTCCCCCCGCCCCCCCTCACTCTGGGGGTTACACATCATATTTTTTTCATACTTGCTCCACATCTTCATCAGTGCATGGTGGGGAAAATCCCAGCTGATTATCTATAAATACACTAATGTAACTAAAGGGGAATCAATAAATCATTGCCTCTGAAGGAATGAGTCCCTCAAATATTTAAAGTTTTCGCTGGTCCACGGATACTACACTAATGGTAGCGTACTGGAGATGACAACACAATGTCATGCTGCTCCTCTTAGAAAAGTCTATGTATCAGGACACAACATGGCACATTATGAGCGAGCAGAGGAGAGAGATTTTGCCTGAAACATTCTGCTCCTCAGTTGGCCTCAATACTTCATGCGGTCTGCTCAGAAAAACATCAGGAGTGTTTTGGAAGAAATCACTGTGAGGGTAATGTGTGATGACAATCTGCTTCTGTCAGGTCCTCCTGTCAACGTCACCTGCAACATCTTCATCAACAGCTTCGGATCCATCACTGAAACAACCATGGTGAGGATTTTCTTTATCATACTTTTTATGGATGATAAACTGGTGATGAAAATCTGCTTTTTCAACTAATGGATATCACCATAAAACTTCCCCACTTGCATCAAGAAAATGATATTGTATGACATGTTTCTGCACACATTATGTTTAAAAATGCAAATGAGGCATTATCTTATTAATAGTAGAAATTAATACAAATTCAACATTGGATAAACTTAGGTTCAAAGTCTTGATTTTATTATAATCAAAAAAATGTACAGAGGGAAAATGTGATATATCTATTAGTACTATGAAGGATATATGACCAAGCCCCCCTGTAAACACTTCCAAATTTAAAAAGGAATTGAACTAGTTAACGTTGTTGTATGTAAGTACTATTCAATTAAAGATTTCTGGCTTATACAAACAACTAATTTTGAGGGAAACAGATATCTAATGTAAAACTCAGTTAAAAGGGTAATGCTAATATGTTTTCTCAAAGGCATTATGTACTGCTTACTTTGCGGGAAACTTAGAAGAAAATTACAGATGAAAATAGAGGACTGTGAAAACCTTAATGTATATTTTGGATCTTTGTTTTAATTATTTAAAGGGGCCCTATTATGCTCATTTTCTGGTTCATATTTGTATTTTGTGCCTCTACTGTGACATGTTTCCATGCTTTAAAGGTCCCACGTCATGCTTTTCTGGTTATTACCCGTCCCCTTGTGTGTTATGTAGCTTGTTATGCATGTAAACGCTCTGCAGAGTCACAAACCCTCAAAGTACACCCTGTAGCGAGTGAAACTCTAACACTCTATGCTGCCCCAGAACGCCTCGTTGGGGATTTCTCTTTTTCCATTGTTTACTTCTTGGGTATAGTGACGTATTTCGGGTATAGTGACGTAACGTCCGCGTAGCCGTTACGTTTGGACCAATCCGCGGACTTCCTCACACACACTGACACACGGCGGGACGTTGCGAGGCTTGCTGCTGCGAGGAGCGGGACACTGTGAGCTGGCTCACTGGTGTGGGGTTGGCGAGACAGCGAAACACCGCGGAACTCAACCTGGGCACACACACAAACTCCCAGCCAGGCTGCGGGTGTGCATGTGTGCCCATGCTGTGTTCCGCGCTGTCTCGCAGACGGCCACTGGGCTCACAGGGAGGGGGGGGGGGCAGGAGCTCCAACAAGCCGTTTAGGACAGAGTGAATACACATACTATACAGAGATGCTGTATGAGAAACCAATGTGAGTTTGGAAAATAGCACAATATAAATGTAGTTTAGTATTACCTCAACAATTGAATTATGATCAGTAGAAATGGCCATGACATGGGACCTTTAATGTTTAAAAAGGTATTTATTTTTCTCATACTGCCTGTGCTGCAGCACCTTTCACCCTCTGTCTGAAACCAGAGCCCAGTGCCCTGATTGGTTAGCTGGCCACCTCTTTTGTGTTTGGTCAACCGCTTACATATGTCCCTCCCCTTAGCCTCACATCACATAGAATATGTTGAACCACCAGCCAATAGAGTGGTGCAGTGACGAGTCCTAAAACCCGGAAGTGAGTTAGCATTTTACCACTACGGGTTCCCTCGTCTCAGAGTCAATGACATTTCTCCAGATGATTTTGGAAAATAGCTGGAAATAAGGTCTGTGGTTGACACAAATTTAAGAGACGGATCACGTTTTGTTCTACGACATTAAATACATCAGCAGTGACCCCACTGGTGATTCTTGAAGAGTTTGCGTGTCTGAAAAACGATGGTTGTTAACATGTGGCTGAATAGGACTACAGAAGTTGTCGAGGACGTTGTACGTCATTACACCGAACACGTAAACACTAGGGATGTAACGACATATCGAATATCGTGATCTCGCGGTAAATAAATGTCTCAATACCGTCGTGAGACTGACAAAATATACCGCGATTTTAAAAAAAAAAAAATTATTCAACCAGATGGTCCCATTGAGATCATCAATCTCTTTTTCAAGGGAGACCTGTCCAACATGGCAGCAAGTAGGTTACAACATGAACATAAAACAACGGATAACAATAAAGGACATCATATTTACAGGGCTACATCTACATGTACATACCTAGAGACATTGACAAGTACCAACAGTATATTTATATCTCGCCCTGTCCATAAGCCTCACCTTCTTGGCAAAAACTGTATTGTTTTTGAAGTGGTGGAGAGACAATGCACAGTTTTACCCACTGCTGTTACCCATGGCCAAAGCATATCTCTCTGTCCCAGCAACATCAGTACCAAGCAAGAGAGTTTTTTCCACAGCAGGGGATATTGCAAACGCCCAAACATCCCAGCTTATACCTCGAAATGTGGACATGCTCATATTCCTAAAAGATAACCTTGATGATGCTGAGAGTGAGTGAGTGAGTTAGAGTTGAGTTACTTGAAAAACTAAAGTGAAACTTGATTTATTCTATTGCAGGGTCTGATTATTATATTGTTGACACTTTAAAATACTACTATCCTACTAAAATGCTGTACAAATCAGATGTATTATTTAATAAAGAAAAAAAATTCAAGTAAAAAAATTGATTCACATTTTTTTTCCAATATCGCGATAAATATCGTACCGTGGACTTTTTATCGCGATATTATTTTTTTGGTATCGTTACATCCCTAGTAAACACTCCCACTAAGTTTGTTTGCCCCTGTTCTGCTGTGAAGTGCCTGCGCTCTTGCAAACTGTTCCAACTTGTACAATTTTGAATCTGTATTTTTTGAATATCGAATTTAAGTTGACGTTGAAGTTGTGCGACCCTGCTATACTTGGCTTTAGTTCGTTTATAGCATAACGTTAGCATTTTACTTCTGGCGATTAGATTCATGATTAGAAAATTATAAAAGTATGGTAGACATGTGGATATTATCCGGCTGAACAAAACGTGCATTCATCCAACAGGTTCGTTTTCCACAGACCTTATTTCGAGCTATTTTCCAAAATCCTATGGAGAAATCCCATTGCTTTTTTGTCGAGGGAACCCATGCACAGTTTATTTCTGGGTAAATACGTCATCCCTGCACCACTCTGTTGAAATGCAATTGTTATGATGTCACTATGTTATGGACGTAAGGCAGGACGGGGGGTGTGTGGGAGAACTAAAAAAACATAATAGGGCCCCTTTAAAAAGAAGATATGTTATGGAGGCAAAATAGCCAATATCACAATATTGGACCAGTGCGTAGAAGAGGATGTTAAAGTCAACATTCTATGGGCTTACCTCTAGTCCTCTACTGTCAGCGATAGACGATGTGGACCTGTTGTTCTTTCAAATGATTCTAAACATGGCAGAGCGGGGGCAATACAATATTTAAACAGTTTCCTATCAGGACCTTTACAGGAATCACGGTTAAAAGTGATGCTGTAGCAGTCAGTTTCATAGTCATTTTATCGTCCGTATGTAGAGGCTGTGTGAATATGTGCCACGGATTTATGTTGGTAAGAATCATGTTAAAACTGTGGGGGACAAAGTACAGAGGTTTTCTTCGTTGCTACTCTTTGAATAAAAATAAAAAAAGTACATAAACATGAATGCAGTACGGCCAATTTGAGAATGATATTTTAAACATGTAAGTGTAAAAATCACTATTATAATGCAGCTGGTAAAGACAATGCTATTTTAACCTACTTTACAAACTGCTCTATAGCTTAATCTATCATCATTTATTGTTGATTTTGTAATAATACAAGCCTGCCCATTTATCAGATCCTTTTTTATTGTCTGGCTCTTCTACCCTTTGGAGCAGGTTTAATGATGCCTACACATAGTGTCATTAGACGATGAGTAATGTATGGCTTTAACACCATCTTGTACGTTCATTACAAAATGTCAGCGAGGATGTTCTTATCCCTCCGTCTGTCGGGTAAGGACAAATCCTGTTTTCAAGAGTCTTGTTTTTTACTCCCTTAGAAAGACATCCTTTTTTCAAAAATACCTCTAGGCACAGTCATCATATTTTAAATAATGAAATTGTAAGTGGGGTTTTCTGTCATTCAGGTTATGAGCACTCAAGTCTGTTTGTCAGCATTCATTTATTTATCTTTGCGCAGACAGAGTTTGAGTGCGCGCGCCATGCGCTGCAGGTTCATTTGTTTTGGCTTGAGACTTGTTCCAGTGTACCCGATCTTACCCCCCCCCCAAAATACTTAGAGGCAGAGAGTTATGCAAACTGACAAGCAAGAGAAAATTATTCACTAGCGCAAGCTGCAAATACAGAAAACATAACCTTATGGAAACCAGGGCACAGTAAAAAGTGATGCACAGGGCTAACTATGTTCAAGTGGCATCTATAATACTCATTTGTAAGTTCATATTTGTATGTAGTGTCTCTACTGTGACATGTCTCCATGCTTTAATGTTCAAAAAGCTCTTTATTTTTCTCATACAGCCTGTGCTGCAGCACCTCTTTCAATCAATCAATCAATGTTTATTTATATAGCCCAATATCACAAATGTTACATTTGTCTCAGTGGACTTCACAGTTTGTACAGAATATCAGTATGACAATACGACACCCTCTGTCCTTAGACCCTCACATCGTACAAGGAAAAACTTCCGAAGAAAACCCACAGTTTAAAGGGAACATGGGAGAAACCTCAGGGAGAGCAACAGAGGAGGGATCCCTCTCCCAGGACGGACAGATGTGCAATAGATGCCGTGTGTAAATTGAAAAGATAATACATTTGCAGCATAGGTAGTCCAAATGTTTGGAAATGCATGTGTGTATAATAGGAAGATGAATCCACGAGGATATCCATCCAGGACTTATGATCCAGGACCACAGCCACGATTCAAGATCCAGGGCTCGCGATGCAGGACAGAGGACCGCAGGATCATCCATGACTCCGGATCCCGGCGTATACAGACACCAAAAAGAAAGACATTTGGGGAAGCTGGGTTAATCGGAACATGAGAGTACACAGGTATAGACAGAGAGAAGGAAGAAGTAAGATGTCCCCCGACAAACTAAGCCTATATCAGCAAAACTAGGGGCTGAATCTAATCAGCCCTAACTATAAGCTTTATCAAAAAGGAAGGTCTTAAGCGCACTCTTAAAAACGGATAGGGTGTCTGCCGCCCGAACACAAACTGGAAGCTGATTCCACAAATGTGGAGCTTGATAAGAAAAGGCTCTGGCTCCCATTGTACTTTTAGAGACTCTAGTAACAACCAACAACCCTGCATTCTTGGAATGCAATGCCCTAGTAGGACAGTAGGGTATAATGAGTTCTTTAAGGTAAGATGGCGCCTGCCCATTAAGGGCTTTGTAGGCGAGAAGAAGAATTTTAAATTCTATCCTGTGTTCTATAGGGAGCCAGTGTAAGGCAGCCAGAACAGGAGTAATGTGGTCCCTTTTCCTAACTCTGGTTAGTACACGAGCTGCAGCATTTTGAATCAGCTGAAGCGACTTGACTGACTTCTTGGTACACCCTGATAATAAAGAGTTACAATAATCCAGCCTTGAAGTAACAAATGCATGGACTAGTTTCTCTGCATCGTTTTGAGGCAAGATATGCCTGATTTTTGCAATGTTACGTAGATGGAAGTAGGCGGTCCTTGAAATTGATTTTATGTGGGCGTTAAAGGATAAATCCTGATCAAATATAACACCAAGATTCCTTACAGTCTCACTGGAGGCCAAATTAATGCCATCCATAGTTTCTCTTTCCACCCTCTGTCTGAAACCAGAGCCCAGTCTGCTCTGATTGGTTAGCTGGACGGCTCTATTGTGATTGGTCAACCGCTTAGAGATATGATTGGAGGCATTTCAGTGTGTGGGGGAGAAACACACTGGTCTGCACATTTTAGCCTCTGCAGACCATTTACATGCAGAAAAACCTATAAAACACACTACAGGAAAGCGAAGACCCTAAAAGCACAATAGGGCCTCTTCAATTCCTGATGTATACTCTCAGTGTGTCAGCTGGAAGCAGTTATCCATGGCATGTGGTGCCACAGGACGTTCAGCAAGGTTGATTCTGAATTGTGTTGTGTTTTCAGTTTTTTTAGCATTTTGTTTCAAAAAAAGATTTTTTGAAATGCCGTCAATCAATAATTCAAACTTTATTTGTTTAGCACCTTTCGTACAGGTTAGTGCAGTGCAATTTGCTTTGCAGATGACTGACAAGCAGAAAAATAATGTGGACCGATAAAACACTGTAAAATAAAAGCTATATTGATTATATAACAATAAAATGTAATACAATGGTACAATTTAAATACAAGTGATTCATTTAAAATATGTAAAATAGAATAACATGGTCCAACTAAATTACAATACATAATGAATTAAACAATGCATAACATGATTTACCTTTAAAATGTCAATATGATTCTACTAAGGCAAGAAAATGAAACCACCTATGGCTATATATTTTATTTCAGTCATGTATAACTCTTAATATGAATTCCTCAATATGTTTTAATTCTATACAGGACTACCGGCTCAATGTGTTTCTGCGCCAGCAGTGGAATGACCCCCGGCTGGCCTATAAGGAATATCCGGACGACTCTCTGGACCTGGACCCCTCCATGTTGGACTCCATTTGGAAGCCTGACCTGTTCTTTGCAAATGAAAAGGGAGCTAACTTTCACGAGGTCACAACAGACAACAAACTGCTCAGGATATTCTCCAACGGAAACGTCCTCTACAGCATCAGGTGATCTGCTTGTAATGATCTCTAAATCCACTCTGAGTTTATAATGCACCAGGATGTTCCTCTATCTGGCTCTACAGACCCAGCTCCATGGCGTTTTAAGGCCGTCGAGAGAACATGAAGTTGTAGTCTCGAGCCTCTGAAGATATTCCAACAACATGTTTGTTTCACTCCAGTTCAGCTCAGCTATCATTGTGTTCACCAGCACTCACTGTGAATAATAACTGCGGGCTAAAACAGAGTTGGGTCATAATGTGGCACTAAAGCAGTGGTGATTTGTAGCGTAATGGAGTTCATTAAAATAGAAGAAAGATGAAGCAGTGTGTAAAGCTCTATTAGCAACCCTGGGAAACTAAAGAAACAGTAGCTTCCCTAACTGAACTTCAAAAGGGATGACTGAGTGCAGGGTATCAACCTGGAACAACCTCCCATAATACAACGGGGTCTAAAGTTTGAAAATGGATAAAAAGCTCTGCCTTTATCCATTTATTCACATTAGGCTAGCTAGCCCCTATATCTACAGATGAATTCCTCTTCTTTGCAGTGTTGCTCCTATCGCTCATGTTTGTGAGACCTTGCCTGCCCCTCTATCTATGAAAAGGGTCCTTTTTCAGATTTGATATGTCTTGAGTATGGAAGCCTTGAAAGGCCAGTGAGAAAAATCTGCTGATAGTGAAAATTGTTGTTATACTCTTGAATAAAAGTGTTGTTATAACCTGCTCATTGATGGTATTGGGTGAGGGAGAATTTAAGTGGAGGTAGAAATTCAAACTCACTTGGAAAACAACACAACTATTTAGAACATGAAGTAGTTGTGCACTTTAGCCTCTTTGGTCCAAAACTAGCTAGAAAACGTAACAGAAAAAAAAGTAACATTAAAACATTATCCATGGCAAAAATACTATTCCACCCCGTTCTTTAGCCAAGAGAGAAACAATTTTGGATCACGTAAAAAAAGGGCTTCCGTACTTTGAATGAAACCCTTTCCTCTGATTGTGCTGCTATGTTTCTCATCCATTTTACTCTCCATAAAGGCTGGTATCTGCCTGTCAGCACCTCTTAGCCTTTGTGTGGTTAATGCAGGGTGCAGTGGAGTAGAAAAATGGAGAGGAGGACAGTCAGAGCGGCTTCCTGTGACTCGAGGGTAGTGTGAGCCTGCGGAAAGAGTTTGAGTGACAGATGGGCAGGAGGCGGCTGCTGCTGTGGGTTTACTGCTGTGGGCTAGCTGGGTGTTTGTAGAGGGCATCACCTTTTTATTTTACACTCCATCCCACTGCCATTCCTGTGTTGCTGTTTCTCTTTTCCAGGCTGACACTGGTCCTTTCCTGTCCCATGGATCTGAAAAACTTCCCCATGGACAGCCAGAAGTGCACGATGCAGCTGGAGAGCTGTGAGTTTCCAATACACTCTAAAAACCTTAAAGGGGACCTATCATGCAAAATGCACTTTTGTACGTCTTTTATACATGAATATGTGTTCCCGGTGTGTCAGGGAACTAGTCCCAATGTAATCATCTAGAACAGCAAAATGACTTGTTAATTCCACAAACTACTGCAGCACAATACTAAATAGCAACAGTAACTATAGAAAAGAAAAACTGAACGTAAACAATGGCACATATGTGTTAGCAAACAATAGCTCTAGCTAAGGCTATCTGCCTTTAGCTAGCTATGTAGCTCTTCGGGGCTCCATAAAAGCATTAGCTAGCTATGTAGCTCTTCGGGGCTCCATAAAAGCATGGGTTGTCGAACATTAATGTAAGGATAAAATAGACTTCTTTGTTAGAAGTGAGCGTACCTTGCAGGGACTCCAGTAAAGCCGTTGCAGAGTCCAGGCCTCCCTCCCTCCCAACGTTGGCCGGTCTATGGCCGTAGATCTGGTCCAACAAATCGAACCACTTCCATTGTTTGCGACCCGCACCACTCGTGTTGTTATTGTCCTTTACTTGGCGATATTCGCTCTTCATCTTTTTCAGTTTTTCCCTACACTACAGGAAAGTCCTCGAAAATCCGCGTTCGGACATCTGTGCAGAGACATCCTGGAACACTTTTACATTTCTCGTTGTTCCGTCGAGCTCCCGCTGGATTTTATCATCCCCAATGAGATGAAAGAACGTCGTCACCTCCTCGGTCGACCACGGTGTGCTTTTCTTAGAAGTAGCCATTTTTGTAGCTCCTCCGTTTACAAAATGCTGTGTATAAAAATGCTGCAAGCTTGCTTCTAGATATATATGCGACGCTAGGGATGAACTCGCGCGCAATCTTGTGACGATTCTCTCTGACCAATCAGCAGTCGAGAGTGTTGACGTCACTAGTTCAGCCCTGGCCCTGGTCTGAGGGAACCACGATTTTATGAGGCCGGAAAAAGAGGGAAAAAGTACCCGCTGGCCGGTACTAGGCTATATGGAAACGCCACCAAAAACCGGCCTGGCCGCTTGAGGACGGTTAAGGACGCTTAAATGGGGCTACCCGCTGCAGTGGAAACGCGCCACAATTGTCAGAAAACACAACCCTCTCTCTTTTCCTCCATACCCAAATCTCTAAAAACGGGGTTGCAACGGATCTGATACAGACTGATACAGATTTGAAAATAGTGTGATGTCAGTGACGAGGAGCTCCGCCTATATGGCAAACTCTCCACCAATCAGGGGAATGAGAGGTTGCCATGGCATGGTAACAGCATGGTAACATGAGGTAACTCGGGCCCCTCCTTTGCAGGGGGGCGTGGTCCCACAGGGTCCTCCACAGGGTGGAGGAGAGCAAAATAGAGCAAAATGAGGCATGGCTAAAATGCATGATCTGTTTGGTATTTTGAAAAAAAAAACGTATAAATAATATTAAATATACCTTTTATATAGGTATGGCCCTACAATATATTATTCAAATATAGCATGATAGGTCTCCTTTAAATTAAAGTGTATATGCATCATTTGAAAATACCAAAAACATATACAATTACAAATAATATACAGTGCAAGAATAATTAAAAAAAAGTATTGACTTCATACTTCTTTAATATTGCAAAGATATTAGAGCAATATATAATAAACACAGTAAAGATAATAATACATATACAAAAAAAGACAGGATATTTTATTTTAGTTTGGTGTGTATTTATTTGTGATGGAATATTATTTGTAGGAGGATGATAGATGTGTTTGGTAAGAACTGACCTTTAAAGTAGATTTAAACTGCCCTTCATCTGGAAGTATCTCAGAAATACATTTTAAAAAGTGAGAAATATTAATGTCATAAATAGCAAATAGAGGCGCATAAGAGATATATCACATCGGGATGTTTGCAAGAAAATCAAAACATTTCTGGACGACTAAAATAAAGAGAAGTAAGAAAAGTACTTGACCCAGCTATATTATAGTATGAAACATAGAAGCTAAATAGACTGTAAATAAGTGGTTAAAAACAAAATATAAAACTGAATATTTCTTTATTTTTCTACCAACCAATTCATAATTCCCAGGAATGTTGTAGACACTCAAATGTCATTTTAGATACATCATTAGACTATGATTTCTTGTCTCTGAAAATAATTATGTACAAAGATTCAAAGCATGTGGCATAGCAATTTAAATCCACACAGCATCCCTAACCAGGGAATTGAAGTTTGAATGATGGATAACCACCGGCCTCCCCTCCCTCTGTGCTCCTGCAGTCGGCTACACCATGAACGATCTGATTTTCGAGTGGCTGGATGTGGGGGCCGTGCAGGTGGCCGACGACCTGACCCTCCCTCAGTTTGTGCTGAAGGAGGAGAAAGGCCTGGGCTATTGCACCAAGCACTACAACACAGGTATAGGACACGTGACCACCTGCGGAGCAACATCCTCCATCAGCTCTGTAAATCTACTTCTAATAAGACTGTCAGTGTGCACCTGTATCTCCCCCTGTGGTTAGGTAAATTCACCTGCATTGAGGTCAAATTCTACCTGGAGCGGCAGATGGGCTACTACCTGATCCAGATGTACATCCCCAGCCTGCTCACCGTCATCCTGTCCTGGGTGTCCTTCTGGATCAACATGGACGCGGCTCCGGCCAGGGTGGGACTGGGGATCACCACGGTGCTCACCATGACGACGCAGAGCTCTGGCTCCAGGGCCTCCCTGCCAAAGGTCAGAGGGTTAGCTATCCAACATCTCACAGTAGAAACCAAAGCAAGTTACACACTGTGTGTTATATAGTCTGGGATGATATCAGGAAGAAGTGTTTTTCAGCACTGTACATGTTTCAACTTTACAAATTATTGTAACAGTCTTTGACGCCCAGGTTTTTTTTAACAATTCATTCTCAAACTAGGAATTCAATATGTTATTTCCATTTATTTTTAAGATGAGTCCCAATGCCATCATTTCAAACTACTCCATTACAAGTAAAAGCATTGGGCACAATGTATTAATATTTATGATTGTACTCTAAACTGTACTTTAAATATCAAAACTTCTATTCAGACAAATACAATATTCTTTTATATGGATTATTAAGGTGTCCAGCTTTATGTAGGGCTTTACAGTAAAACCTACATCAATAATGATATGCAGCATTTCATACATATGCTTATCATATGTTTCTGCAGCAGTTGTTTTTATTTTATAGAGACACATTAAATGGTAATATTCAATCAACATTTTATAAATTAAAATGTATATGGATAAGTGTATTTCAATCTTTGTATTATCAATGATGCAAACGTGGGGATTTTTATACTGTACTGCATGTATTTTACATCTATAGCTACTAGTTACTTTTCCTAATAAGATTATAAATACAAAATATTTCATTGGTTTATAAAATATGAAACATTGCCACAGATTATAGTATTACAACATTACTTACCGCAGTTCCCATTTAGATGCATCAATGATAATAATACATGTTATTAATACTAGTCAAATCTTGTGGACTTTAAAAAATAGTTTAACATATTTTTTTGTTTTTACAGAACAGTAATGTAGTTATGTAAAACCTCTTCCACCTCTTTGTTAAACCAATGATAACAAGGTGATCCAACAGAGTTTGTTAACCCATGTCTTTCATGTCACTGCCTAACATGGCATGAGTGCTCATGTTATCTAATGACTCCTCTGCTCTGTGTCACAGGTGTCCTATGTGAAAGCCATAGACATCTGGATGGCGGTGTGCCTTCTCTTCGTGTTTGCCGCGCTGCTGGAGTATGCGGCCGTTAATTTTGTTTCACGGCAGCACAAGGAGTTCTTCAGACTGAGGAAGAAGCTCAAAGAGCAACAGCGTCAGAGAACTGTGAGTGCCCCCCACCCACTCAGCCCCCCCGGGCGCCTGTCACCTGTTATTCTCTGCGCCCAGACATGCACGAGCTGCACGACTCAGCTGCAGCGAGCCGGGAACTGCAGCAGCACTGACCTGTGATTAATTCTAACCATCACCTTATTCCACGGTTCTCAGCATCTTGTTGAAGAAAAATAGAGGAGACAAAGTAGGCCAAACCATGTTTAAAGAGGAAATATTTCTCAAAAAGAAGCAGCGTGACAGCAGCTGCAGGACTCATTAATGCCTTGTAATATTTACAAGACAATGCACAAAACATCTGCATGAATCCTTTGTTCTTATTCGTCTGTCAGGAGCGTGCTGCTGAGATGTTTTCTGGATGCGCTGTCACGTGGTCTCATTTCACATTAATGTCACACTTGTGTTCACTTTGTTTGCAACAGATGTTTGTTGATGCAGATTTGAACACATAGCACTGTGCCATGTTTGCAAATCAATGCAGCCTGTGTGATGATTTCATTGATTACATTTGTGTGCCCCCGCTCCCTCCCCCTATCAGCAGGGAAGCGGTGACAGTAAGTCGAAAGGAAAAAACATGTCAGGCAACAACACTCCTCACGGGAACGTCTCCCAGCAGTGCTCCGCCTGCGCCAAGGTACGTTCTGTCACCTGGAGCTCCTTCTACTGTCATAGTCTCACTGGATTTACTTTGCTGTGTATTTACATTTCTTGCATCAAATTGCTTGTACGTATGTGTTAACCTACTTGCAGTGGTGGAAGAAGTACTCGGATGTTGTACTTGAGTAAAAGTACCAGTGTGTAGGAATACTCTGTTGCAAGTAAAAGTCCAGCATCAAAATATACTTAAAGTACCAAAAGTTAAAGTACTCATTATGCAGATCCATTTCAGAATAATATATATGATATGTTTTATAATGATTGATCATGAAAGTGTTCTCAAAGCTGGTAAAGGTGCAGCTAGTTTGAATGACTTTGTATACTGCAGGGTAGCTTGTGGATTTACTCCAGGTGGAACTACAGTCTGGTTTAAGACTTGATTATATTTCACATCATTCATCCACATCTGTAAAACTAAAGCTATTAAATACATTTAGTGGAGTAAAAGTACACCATTTACCTCTGAGTTTGTAGTGGTGTAGACGTACAAAGCAACACAAAATGTAAATACTCAAGTAAAGTACAAATTCCTACTTGAGTAAGTCTGCTTAGTTACTTTACACCACTGCCTGCTAGGCAGTAAACCTGATTTTGGTTCTGATTCAGTTTAAAAGCAGCCAATCAGTGTACAGGTGTGTGATTCTCAGAGCAGAAAGTTATTGGCTCATCCTAAATCTCCACACTGAAAGACTAACGGAGAGTTCCCAGTAAATCCTAAGGGTCACACAGTGCGGTTCTTTCGCAGACATTTTGAGTGCTTTCTGAACTTTCTTAAACATTTCTGCTGACTTTGGATGAGGGAGTTGCATAAAATGAACAGCATTTTGGCGTGAGAAAAAGAGTTAGCAGGGGAAGCATTTAAAAAATCATAAACAAGGACGATTTGCACAAAGAGTTTAGCATGGCATGTTTAATTCACACGGAAACATTAATGATTTAAGATGCTACATAAGAAATTAAATGAGGGGAATCCAAGCATAAGCTAAAGTATTTTATACTAAATTGCTGTTTTCGCAAAAATGTGTAGATGTAATATTCGACCTCTTCACTTTGTAAAGTGCCTTGCAATAGAAATGATCCGTGAAGAAGGTATAAAAAGGTCAAAAAAGTCCCTAAACCAAAAGCGTACATAACAGGTTTTGACATTGCCATGGTAACATGATGATTCCGATGTAAACCACTTCAAATCTGTGCCGCCTGACACTCTCAGACACTTGGTGACATGACTAAGATACTTTATTTATCCCAGGTTGGGAGATCGTTTTGTCACAGCAGAATTTTGACAGTCAATCTACAAGAATTACAACATTTCTTAAAAATATAATATAATACAAATCAAATAAAGATAAACATAACAAAATAAAAATGTAAAAACAATATTCTCAGTAAGAAACACACATTCAGAGGAGTATCCAAACACTTTAGATTATACAGAATACATTAGAATACTCTCTAATATGCCAATCTACCAGACATATAAACACAGTGTACTATATATATTTAAAAGTCACCTATTATGCTATATTTGAACAATATATTATAGGGCCATATCTATACAAAACATGTATCTGAAGTGTTTTGCTCAAATTACCAAACAGTTCACCCATTGAAGCATGCCTCACACCCCTCTATTTCAGCCCTGTTACTAAAGTGCTGATTCTGGGTCTGGCCCTTTAAATGTAACCAAGTTGCTTTAGAGAGTCTGCATGCAAGCAGTGATTAAACGCCATATCATGTTCCAAACCACATCAAGCATTATTTATGAAACAGTATGGAGCTCAAACGCTTTCTCTACCGCGGGTTTACCACAAGGACAGTACCTTTTTATATCCGGCTTCTTTAAACATACTCTCTCCAGTACAGCGTTAGCTCTGAGTGTTAGCAATGCTTGCTAATGTAAACACAGACCACATTACTTCCAAAACACGTTGCGCATTGTTTCTGATACAGCTCATAGTCAACATAGTCAACAGCGGGACGTTGCCAGGAGTTCAATGTAAAGCCAGCCCATTTCAGTAATGCCGTCAAGTTCTCAGCAAATCTGGATCAGCTCCGTTGTACCCCCTTTTTTTGAGATGTGGGTAAGGAGGAAAAGAGATTTTCTGTCTCGTTACACACCGGGGACACATATGTATGTATAAAAGACATCAAAAAGTGCATTTTGCATAATAGGTGACCTTTAAAATTAAGAGTTAAATATATCCTGTGAGGTAGTGTAGGTTCCTATGGTACTTAAGGGCTTAAAGGTTCAGGGTTTAAGCTTTAGGCTGAAGATTTCATTGGGCCATTCTTTACTGTGTCTTTTTCTTTCCAGGAGGATGAAATGACAAACCAGGGTTTCCTCTTCCAGAGTTATGGACTTGCGCTGTCATCAGTAGGTGTAGCAGAAATGGATGCACCGGTCTCTGCCGATCTACCTCCTGGTTTGGGTTTCTACGACATCCGCAAGCGCTTTGTGGATCGAGCAAAAAGGATTGATACCATCGCCCGAGCTGTGTTCCCCATGAGTTTCCTCATGTTTAATGTCCTCTACTGGCTCACCTACAAAGTCCTGCGGCATGAAGACCTTCTAGCCGCGCCGTGAGGAAGCGGATACCTTGAATCCTGCTGTCCTCACTGAAACATTTACAGTCCTCAGCGGAGCCCTGCAGATGCGTTGTGACTGCATGTCCAGTGCCATGGACATTTCTATGACATGGAAGCATTCATGGGTTTCTTTAAACTTTGAATAATTTAAAAAGAAATGCACTTTTTCTCCGCACTGATGGTTTATACATTGCACACCAGTGTACAGTATGCATCTTAAGTATATCACCTCACAATTTGTTACGGGAAATGTCTGTATGGCCAGATACTGTAGCTTCACTGTAGCACTTCCTCTACAGGCATACATTATTTATTCTAATATTCCTGCTGTCAACTGTTTCCCATAACACAGGTTTCTTACCACCAAGACAAATAACATGTCACTACAAAAGTAGCAACTTTGCTTTACAGGCCTGGAAAATACATTAAAGGAAAATACATATATTTTATTAGGCTTCGCTAATCCAGGTTTGAATGCTCTTTATTTTCTTACAGACATGATATTTATCAGTTCACATTTATAACCCTCCTTTGTGTAATAAGAACTGGAATAATCTGTTTTTGAAATATGTTTCATTTTAAATTACTGCATTTACTGCATCAGGCCTAAAGGACTGATGGATATTGTCCAGATATTTTATGAAGTTACTATATATTGATATAATGGCATAGCAAAGCATAGCCAAATATAGAAGATATGTTTTTTATCATTAATCAACCTCGACCACCATCAGGGTACATGGGATCAGTCATCATAATGTACTAAGGTCTCCTCAGGTCTGCACAATGCCAGGTGTATCGGTGTTTAACCCGACTAAGTAACACTGAGTATTAACTGTCTGGTTTTTTCTTTAGAAACAAAAAAGGAAATCCTTTGTTGGTCAATACAAAATAAATGCTTTGTACCCTGATACATAATGAGTACACTTGTTTTGCAGTCTACATACAGTCCAAATATAACAGCATGCCAGGGTCTAAACCAAAGGATGGGACTTTAATATCAGCCATGAAGTCAAACTATGAAATTCTTTAATGGTAAAAAGCATAATCTTGCTAGAAATGTTTTCCCTCTAATACTTTCCTCTGTCGGGTTTATAATTGTTCATAATGTATGTGTATGAATGCCCTGAGACGAAGACAATTTCTAGAAACCTCGCCTCATTTTAAAAATAAATATTGCAATAAAGTGAAGCTATCATTAATATTTGATTTAAAATGTAGCTGCCACAGGGCTGCATACATCAGCACATTACGTCTCTGAAGCATCAATGGTCTCTTTTTATACTGTAAATATCAATGAGGAAATGATGAGAGATTAGAGAATATGTGCGGACATCATGGATGAAATATAAAAATGACTTTTGATTTTTGCAATGTTCTTTACTGCTAGATAAAGTTATTGAAAGAGGTGTATGCTACTGTTTTATTGAGAAATGTAAAAATACTAAATTAAACGCTAATAATGTTTTCTGTTACATTGAGTTTATCTTAAAGGTGGGGTAGGTAATTTTGGAGAAACCAGCTCGAGTGCGCTAGAATTTGAAAATACACAACCGGAAAAAATCTGCCACTTCCTTACAGAGCCCCTCCTCCAACACACACGAACGCGCACATGACCAATGAGGGCACGACATAAGTTTGTGCACAGATGGAAGGCTGACAGGCAGGTAGGGCATCCAGTTATTTTAGCCGGGCCGGCTCAAATGATTGGTCGTGCTTTTTACAGTACTACGGTTTCCACAGATGAATTTTTGTATGGATTTTTTGTCACTTAAGGATATTCATTGCTATCGGGATGTTAAGAGCATTCCATGGAATATAAAAAAAGTGTATCTCGAGCCGGTTTCTCAAATGTACCTACCCCACCTTTAATATATAAAGTATCATTAGGAATTAAACCAAGGAAACAGTAAACAAGTAATGGTAAAGTATGTCTTAAGAACACAAAATAGTATGTCACAAATACTGATGTAGAAAAGTGAAAATTACAATATGGTACTTTGTATGTCAAGTCTGAATGAAAGAATAAACATATGATTGAGATCATGGTGTATGCTTTACTGGGAGCAGTGTTGATTGTTCAGTCGAACGACAAAGTATAGTATGTCAACATTTTCAGAATAGTATAGTATGTTTGAACATTTCTGAAAGAAAATGTCATAGTAAACTGTAGTATCTAGAAAATGTCAGAAAAACAACATAGTCGTATGTCGAAAAATTTGTTTTCAAAATAAGATTGCCAAATCTTATCTTGCCAAAGGTCACATACACATTATGACAGCAGGGTTGGGATTTGAACCTTCAACCTGGACATTGACAAAAATCCACTTTCTTTATTTGCCACAAAACATTATAAAAAACGGCATATAATTTCAGGAAAATAAACATAGTAGGCTATGTATGTTGAGAATATCAGAAAAATCGTCACTGTTTGGTTGGTCGAAAATATCTGAATTTATTTGGTTCGCTAAATCTGAAGTATGACACAAATAGTACAAATATTTCTTTAAAATCATAGTATAGCATGTCAAAAAATAGTCATGTAAATTATGTTGAAAGATGTGTAACAAGTCTTAGTATAGTATGTCTAAAAAGTGAAATATGTTGAAAAAATACGGAAAAAAGTCATAGTTTATGTCAAAGAAAATTGAAAAAAGTAATAAAATAGTATATTGAAATATCTAAAAGTCATTGTATGGTATTCAAATAGTATCTCTTAGAAAAAAAGACATAGTGAAGTAAGGCATAACAAAAACTATTTTGTACTGTATGTCATAAAAAAGAGAAATCATGATCTAAGATAATATTGTATTAGTTTGACTGCAGGGACAGTGCAAAAACAAGAGGCACCATTAAAGCAAAACACAAGATATATTAAATCAGTAAACAGGAAAAACATAATTAATAGTTTAAACAGTTAAATGAAAATATAAATACAATAGTAGACTAACTAAATCATAAACATGCATGAAAAATAAATATTGTCATTGCACATTATATTGAGATATCAGTGGTTTACATTGATATTGCAAATGGATGAATGGATGTCTGAATAAAATAATAAACATATGATTGAGGTTTTTTTTTAAATGGAAAAAGTCATAGTGTAGTATGTTGAAAATCATCAAAATAAAGTCCTAGAATAGCACGTCAAATAAATACTAAAACTAGTTATAGTATAATATGTCAATACGATCGTAAACAAATCTTAATATATTTTGTCAAAAAATATCATTAATAAACTCACAAATGCATGTCATAAAAATACACACTATGATATAAGTAAGTCATAAAAAAGCAAATTATTTCCAAAAATATAAAAGTAGTAGTGTAAACATAAATATTAAAACAAATTAAATGATTATTGGGAAAGTCATAGTATAATATTTTCGAAAAAATATAAAAGGTAATTGTAAAGTATTGCACAAAATATCATAACAATGAATGGTAGGCTAAAACATGATAAAAGATTATTTCCAAAAATATAAAAACATGTCATAGTACAGTATCTTGAAGAATAGTTAAAAAAATCATAGTACATTATTCAAAGGCATGGCAAGGCAAGGCAAGTTTATTTATATAGCACTTTTCAACACAAGGCAATTCAAAGTGCTTTACAAAAAATGAAAGACATTAAGAAAAAGGCATTTAAAATCAGTCATTAAAAAGAAAAGCTAATAAAAGAAACATTAAAAGAAAAAATACATGGATAAAAGTTACAGTGCAGTTTAAGATATGAATAGTTCAATTAAACATTAAAAGAAAAAGTACATGGATAAAAGAAATTATGAAGAAAATGTATAAAAGTATAGTTACATGTGCAAAATATAATGGATAAAGTCATAGTTTAGTATGATAAAGTATTGGTAGATTATGTTTAAATTTATAAAGATGTACGTAATAGTATGTCAAAAAATATAAAAATAAGTCAAAGTGTTGCATTTGAAAAAAAACTAAAAATGTAATTCGCTATGATACTTTATTTTTTTTTATGTCATAATATGGTATGTCCTCAAAAAGTATTAGTATAGTATGTCATAAAGAAGTTATATTAAAGATCTAAAAAAATACATTGTATAGTTTGTCATTAAGAAGTCATATGTCACGAGTCATGACTTTATTTTGATAAATTTCCCTCGAAAAATGTGGATGGGCCAAGAATCGTCATGTATATGAAACGAGTCCTATCAATGGAAAAGATTATGTATATATTGATAAACAAAATGCAGTTCATGATATCTGAAGAACCTTTATGTACCTGAAAAACACACTTTATATACTGAATACTTAATCTTAGTAAGTCTGTACTGAGTTGATGGGGTACAGGGAGGCAAAACAGGGTGAAAAACAGTTTGCAGTGTTTTAACTCCCAGTATTCAACAATCAAATATTCTTTAAAGTCACAAAAACATAATATATAGACAATTAGATAACCAAGAGGTATCCCATATGAGACTCAATAAATGAAGTGCAGAATAGTGCTGTATACACAACCCGATCCTTGTGTCTGCCACCAGAGGACGCTGTTGTCTCTGTTATGCCCCACATAATTCATGATGCATTCTGCCACATACTGCCGCACACAGTATGTGAGGAGAGGAACTATGAGTATTTATATATGAGGTATGGTATGTGAAATTATAAATTAAACAAACCATCCTTTTCTCTACAAATGAAAAATGACTTGCACGATAATTAAATATTCAATGTCTAATTATTATAATTGCTTTTATTATCCAGAGCTGTATAAAGGTCCAGTCATACTAAAATTACACCTCTCAGAGTGAATTCGTTTTAACATTTATAGCTTTGCATGAAGTCATAGCACACACAAAAACATTAAATACCATCATTGGTGTTATTTTTAAGTAACATCATTTGTTTCAGTAGTTACAATGTTATTAAATGACATTATGAAAAACGAAATGCATTCCTGGTAACTTCGGCTAGTTACGGCGCTTCCTAAAACTGTATCATCATTATAAACTCCTCTTATGGATGGGGGTTACAGCTCATTGTTACAGAGGGTCTTGGCCACCGTTGCCCCATCGCCTGAACTGACCCATGCGAAGACAAATACTTTGAGCCAGATCTAATCATCAAATCAGAGTGTGATATAACATAACAGACATAAATGTATTCCAAATAAATTCAACCTGAGAAGAATCAGGATCGAGTTTATTGCCAGTTACGTTTACACATAGGCCTACAAGGAATTTGCTTTGGTATATGATTGTGCAAACAACAAGGAAATAAGTTGTAAGAGAAGATCAAATAGAAAGATTATACAAATACCTGTTTATGTTTTGCAATGATGTAATCCTCTCAGTCATATGTCTCTCTATGTGTTTTTGCATGTGGGCAAATAAGGTAAGGTGATATTTGTGAGGGGAAATAAAACTGAACAATTAATATACATAGCATATACAATATACCACACACAGTTGTGAAGTGTGAATTCCTGGTTGAAGACGCATAGCACATTCATAACTTGTGTGAACATACATATGATATAGTATGCATTGAAGACTACATCTATAGCGCATTTTGCAATCATAGTAAGATAAGAAGATAAGAAGATAAGAAGTACTTTATTGATCCCAATTTGGAAAATGTTTGCTTTGCAGCAGCATTAAAATGCATGGCATTGTACAATACAAATTAAAAGAAATGTAAACATCTCAATAGAAATAAAATAGCATTAGAAAAAAAAAGTAGAAAATATACATGTTGAATTACACATTTACAGTAACAAAATATAAAGCAGGATATTATACATAAGTATGTGAGGAATGGAATATTACATATTAGATTGAATGCAAATGTAAAATGTACTGTCTGATGTGCTTTTAAGTCCAGTAGTTAGTTAGTTAATTTATATTGCTTAATTCCTACACTTTTTAAAGTACATGTTGCATTGTGGTGCACTCACTGCAATCATAATATCATAAAAATATTTAAGATGTGACTTTTAAAGAATGTTATTTGTCTCATGGATGCTGTTGACTAGTTTAAACCATAGCTATTGTAATTCTTGAAGGGATTATAGGTGAGTATGGGTACATAAAGTCTTATAAGCCCCATTAGTAAAACTCTAGTTCAAAACTAGTCAAGAGCAATCCTAAAACACTTATAATTAATTCAGGTCTATGTTGTGTACATATTTATATAATAAATCAGAGTACAATACATGTGAATAATAATAAATGAATTATAATTCACGTTAAATACATAATACACACTATATGGTTTATAGAAAGCATTACTTTAAAAACAGCTACAGGAATACTTTTTTTCTATTGGAAATGTGGTAACATATTTAGAAATTAATTATGAATGTTTGACTATAAAGTTGCTTTTCTATTTTTGAGAGAGGGTCTGCTCTCGCAGGGACCCTCCACCAACGTGTCCACTGGCTGGAGACGTGGCAGCGCCTCCGGTCATATGATTTTAGTTCACTCACGAACCCCACCCCGAAAAGATTTTTTTATCTTCTATCACGTGTCCGTTATTTTTGTGTGAATCGTCTACCGAGATCCGAAAAGCTCTGCAAAATATCCCCTGCATATCTCAGCACAAAAACTAGACACGGAGTTTAGTGGCGGTGACCACCCAAAACAGTGCCATTTTTAGACGTTTACTGCTGACGTTTACAGAGGCTTCAAATAGCTTCCGTTTTACACTGGTAGTGATTGGACTATCCCGTACCTACTCTGTAAGCTAACATATTGGTTGAACAAGTCCGACATTCTACACTTCAATGGAGGAACAGCCCAAAGATCGGGCACAAGAAAGGCAATACAACCACCACGGAGAGGACAGACAATCTACTCAACATACAACTTGTCTAAAAAATGATCAGAGCCACTTCCAGCGCCAGCATCAGGAAACGCAGACGAAGAAAACAGGTTGGGCCATCCGGAAAAGTGAGCTAACGCTTGCTAGCCTTACTCAGCTAATGTCAACGAGCCGACTAGCATTTACTAGCTTTTAACTCCGCTCAGATTGAGTGCTGAGCATGCCAGCTAGCTTTTAAATCAAACTATTTGCTGTGCCCTGGGTAATTTGAGAAACGTTACAGCGGGTGAATGGCTAACCTATTGGACCGACAGTTGGCCACTGTTGGACCAGAGACCATGCAATACGTTAGCTAGGTGGCTAGCTGACGTTGCGTGACAGTTGTCGCTGGTTTGACATATCGGGGATTGACCTTGTGCGCCGGTTTCAACACTCGTTTTTCTATGGCAAATACAACTAAATACTTTCAGAAATCCGACTGGGTCACCATGTGTTATATATGCATTAACCAGTATGCTTGCATGGCGATTCGCGTTGAACAGTAGGCAGATATCTACCTTGTTAATTTCATCATGCTTGTGTCCAGTTTAAGAAAGCGAGCCGGCTACACTGGAATGTTCTGAGCTGCCATTTCCTGTCGGCCATGTTAGAATATCACTGCGAGCTAATGCTACAGTTACCCGGCTACTAAATACTTTCCCCCAACCAAGGTACATTGCAACACTGACATTTCGTTGGTCTCTTTTGTCTACTTATGTTGTTGGTGTTACGTGGCTGTCTTACGACACAGCCGACTATTATCGGTGCCAGGGCGTGCTAATGCCCAACGAGTCCCTGGCTAGTTGACATTAGCTAACGTTAGCCATCTTTGACAGGCCTGTTGCATGTTGTCCAGTCAACGTGAAGCCACGCAGCAACTCGATAAGGACCAATTGATACATATACGGTTTGCTGCAACTAAACAGACACTGTAACTGTCGACATAACGTTTGCTGGCAATGCAAATAAAAAATAATGGGCCTCTGTATAATACAACTAAGTGAAGCAAGGCTGTATGGAGGTGCTTGTGCTGTGCCCGCAGACATGAGGGACAGCACCATTGAATTTGAAGCCCTAGGTTGACGCAGCCGTGCCCATGTCTCTGCTCTTTGCAATGCATAGGCCTATTTCTGGTTCACTGCCACTGCAAATGTATCATATATGCTGCTGTGAACCCTCCCATTACATCTTGCAGCAACTGGTATTTGATGTCAGATCAGATCATCTCAAGTTAACATTCCTGTATGCAGTTGACTTTTGTGAGGTATATTGCTTATAGCTTGCTAAATACAGTGATCACGCAGCTCATCTTGGAATTTGCCATTCTGTTAACACTTCAACGTGAACTAGCAATGGCAATGTATCTGTTTGTCTCACTGCTCTGGTTAAAAGATGCTGGGCCACATTGCTTTCTCAAAAATTGACTAATTTATCTGAAAAGAAAAGTTAATTTTGAACAAAAAAGAGGCCAAACATATATATTTGTGGTTTGCATAAGGAAAAGTTGCAATGCCAAATGTGATTGAGCTGGATAATTCATAATGGGGTTAATTTAAAAAAGGACTAATATAGACACGAAGAATCCTAATCATTTTTTAGGTTCTGTGAGGTCAGGCAGGTCCTATTTCTCATTGTTGCTTTACAAATACTTTACCAAACATATGTTGTAGTGGTACCTTTTTTTTGTCTTTGCATGACTTCTATTTTGTATTAGTGGGAAAAGGCAAAGTAATTGGCACAGCGTTTTTGTATTAAGTACCTTTACAAGTTGAGGCAGTTCTCTTTAAGCTAGTTGAACACATGTCTGAGGTTTTGTATAATTTCATCATAAACTGATTGTATTTTCTTTTTCAGGCATTAAAAAAGTAAACATCAGTGAGGAGGAAGGGGAGAGGAATCCACATCTGTCTCATACTGTTCCTATATCACATCCCCCCAACAACAATGGTAACAGACATGCAAGTAATACAAATGCGAAGCAGAAATCATCCCAAAAGCTGTACACGACTGTTCCAAAAGTGAGCAGCAAAGGACTGGCCCTTAACAAGAATATGGACCTTAAAAATGACAAGGAAAAGGCTCTGGATTTGAATCATCATGAGAGCCAACCTTTGGATAAAAAAGACTCTTTGTTGCTTCAAAATGGCGTTGTAAACTGTGGCTTAATTACAAATGGCTATTCTAGCAAGGACAATGATGGCAGCGGCTCTGAGGGTGGATATACTACTCCGAAAAAACGCAAGGCCAGATGTAACAATGCCAAGAACACTGATAATGTGATAAGAGAAAAGGAAAAAGACATGCAGCAGGGCAACACTACACAAGAACACGTGGCTTTTAATATGGAGACAACTGAGAAGGGAGTGACTTCTAGACTTGATGGCTTGAGAGCAGCAAATAAAGTAGAAGCTCAGTCAACAGCTCGACGGGCTGTTGTATCAGAGGCTTCAATGGGTGAATCTCAGAGGAAAAACTCTGATGGCAAAACAGCTGGCACTTTTGGTAAAAAGAATGAGGAAAGGCACAAAGCCAAGCTTTCCTCACCTTCAAAAGAGGACTCGTGGACTTTGTTCAAGCCCCCTCCGGTGTTTCCTGTGGACAATAGCAGTGCAAAAATTGTTCCCAAGATCAGTTATGCAAGTAAAGTGAAAGAGAACCTCAACAAAGTAGCTCAAGGTGGAGGAGAGGCACTGCCTCCTCCGGTTAGACTGTCACAGGTCCCCATGTCTGCTATGAAAACTATCACCTCAGCTAGCTTTACTAATGGCCCTGTTTCTGGAAACGGAAATGGCTGCCCATCAGTGGGTACCTTCTTTGCTCCTGCTGCTAGTAGTATTCCACCAGCCCCATCTATTTCAAGTGGCGAGAATGTAGCATCTCCTTTGGAAAGTAACTGTAGCTCTACAACCAGTCCTGTAGATGGAGAAGCATACGAGCTTAGAAAGTGTACTCTTTTAATGTACCCTTTAAATATGCAACCTGTGCTCCCTAGTGCTCGTCATCTCGACCCACCGGCTGCTCAGACAAATCAGAAAGCCCTGGGAGATATCTTCCAGAATCAGTGGGGGCTTTCCTTCATCAATGACCCCAACTTGGGTCCAGAAGGAGGAGGAGGTGGCCAGGTGCCTGCAGCGGACAAGACTACTGTGGTCACACCTCAAAGCGAGTGTCAGGCTGCTGCGGCCAAGGCTGCCCAGCCATGCTTTGATGTGAGCCCATCTTTTTTAGAGCCTGGCACTTTGGCTCAAGACCCAGAGAAAAGGACTTGTGCTCCTTGCAATGCATCTAATGCTTGTTTTCCTGCGTGTGTGATGAGTGAGGAGGATATCAAGCTGCAACCACGTAGCCAGCAGAAGACAAAAGTTGAGGCCAAGGGTGCAGGTTCTGCTGTTTCTGCTGCCGGTAAAGACAACGGTGCTAAGCCTGCACAGGGCCAGCTAACCACTGTGTTGTTTGGCTCATCCAAACAACAGGCTCCCACTAAAGACATTGGCAGGAGCTGCAGCTGGGGCTCCTTCGATATTAAAGCTGCTGTCACTTATCACACTAAAGGTAACTTTGACTGCTTACTCTTTTTATCCTGTAAATTAGAATTGAATTTGTTATGGTTGAGATTTATTTCCAGGTGGATCTGGGGACACCCGTGGTTGTTCAGTGTCACCAAACGTTCATTGTTTTAGTAAAGAAGTTGTTAAAAAACAATTAAAACTGAAATCTCTAAGTGTGCTGCCTGTAGCCTGTGACTCTTTATCTATAAGCTCACAGAGGAGGAACAAATACATATAGCTCAATATAGATATTGTGACATTATTGGAGAGTTTACTATTGGTGCTCTAACAAAAAGGAATTGCTCTAACAAAATACCCACACAATGGGATTGTTGACAAATAATCACCAGTAATGTAGATATGCTGACAAAGTGGGTAAAGGCAAATAATAAAACAGATGGAACAGTTTGTGTTAGAAAATGTCATTACTTTAGAACAGCTTTTAAACCAGGATAGACATCTAACGCGATATGAGAATATCCATAATAAAGTCTCGTATTATCATATGTTGATATATTGCCAATCCCTTGTATTGCTGGCACTATAATTGCTTTGATAAGAAAAATTACCCGCATCCTACACATTATTGAAGAACGTCGTAATTACAGCTAACCTATGTGACAAATACATTGCGTCTTTTGTAAATGTTTCACAGTTAAAGCAGCTGTTTTGGCAGCCGACTGATTCTGAAGTCATGTTCGGTGTTGTCTAGTAGAAGCTTAATACAGCTTTTATCCGATTAGGGAGAGTAAGAAAGGGGGAAGAAATGTAGTCCTATGTTTATGAGATCAAATGACTCGCAGTTGCTGGATAGCTACTGTGAATCCCTCTTGTAATGCAATTTGAATCTAGTGCGGAAATGATGGTGGCAGACTTTGCCATTTAGATCTAATAACATCTTAATGATAATAACTTTAAGTGCCTACAATTCTTAAGGAATGTTAGTGTTATATGTATGAAACAATGCATTAAGAAATTAAATGATACATTTTGACATTACATATTTTAACAGAAGAGTATTGCATTTTCTGAAAATGTTCTTTATGACCTGAAATAATGTGTGTTCTGTTTTCCTTCAACAGAAATGGAATTCCTTTTCAGCCTGCAAAAACAAGGTAAGCTCAGCTTCACTTCTTCATCTTCCATTTTCAGAAATGTCGAGGTCCTTCAGTCTTCTCAACAAGAATTAGATCTAGAAAGGTCAGAACATGTAATATAATACAAGATGTGTTCTGGTGGGAGTCCAAGTCTGAGGCTACTTATATTCATACATGTGCTGAACCAAGTGCTTCTGATCCAAATGTGAAAAACAAACAAGAATGATTTCATTATTATTAGCTCTTTTGCGGTTTGGTATTTCAAAATATCCTTTTGCATTAAAAAAAACCCGGCATGCACATTGTCAACATAAGAAAATGGGTGATCAAGACTTGGATGCAAACAAGCTGAATCTAAATATATATCTATCTATTAATCACAAAAGCACCTGCATATGAGATGTAAAATATGAGAAGATGGTAAATGTTTGCCCATGTTTCACTTTAGGGCTGACTTTTGGTTCATCAATAGTAGTAACCTGAAAGAGAAAGATCCTGAAGCTTGTATAGTCACTTCCTTACCCTAAATCACTACATAAATAACACTTTGGTTCTACTTTGACTGTAGAGCAGCATGTGCACAGAGGCTGCATTAAAGCCCACAGTGGGCCCTTCAGGTACAGATAGCTGCATATCATGGACAAACATCACATGAGAGTTAATCCTTGAAAGTTAAATGCTACATTTATTGTATAACTAAAAGTTCAGGAACATAAGCAACCCAGAGTAATCACTTAAAGGAACTCAAATGACTGTAACATAATACTGGTGTACCTTCAAAACGGTGTGTTGAGGCTGTGTTAAATACACATTTGAGCCAATTTGGCTAGGGCCGGGTTTGGTGTCAACATTAGTGTTGATGATTAAGTTACCAATGAAGGTACTTTTGATACTCGACTTGGAGAAAAATAAACATGTTTTTCAACATAATTCGTTTTTTCTTTTAGCAAATGAAGCAATGTCGTTATTTAGATTGAAATGGTTATTTGTTTTTCTACTAATGATACTCACCTTAAGATCCAATCTCTGTACCTTTTATTGAGGATGAATACAGTGTACATTAAGAAAAGAGAAAAATATCAATTGAAAACATTTGAATGATCATTTTTTAAATAAATCCTACATCATAGAGGGGGACAAATGATATAGACATGAGAATAATACGGCTCCTATAAAGTAATTATTACACTAAAAAGAGCTTAAATATGCTATTTAGTATTATTTTTTTTTTTTATATAGCAACTTTCAACACAAGGCAATTCAAAGTGCTTTACAAAAAATGAAAGACATTAAGAAAATGGCATTTAAAATCAGTATGTCCCTGATAGGAGCAGATGTTTGTATTTTAAGCTTACTGTTATTAAGTAAAGTCTACAAGAGAAAAACCTATAGACCTTTATTCATCTCTAGTCAATTGGTACATATTATTTATGTTTTTTTTGTATGCACTGGCCCGTGGTGCAAAAGGTTTCCCTCGGGCAAAGTACGTTGAGTATCCCTAAACTAACCTTTCTCCCCCCTCTGCTGTAGATCCAAAAAGAGTGGTGGTTTATGATGAGACCAAGGACGGACCTGATCAGTGAGGTACTTACAGTACTTACCTTCTTCTCTTCTGGGTGCTGCGATTATCTACCTGGAGTCCTGAATCCTGTTGGACAGATAAAGTGACAACTGTGAAAACATTGATAGTTTAGCATGACAGATTTTTCCTTGGAATCTCCGATGGAATAACAGACTTCTTTAGGGGCCTCAGACAAACACACTCTCTGGAGGGACGTTAGGAGTTGATCGGTGACTCTCCAACACGATAACTGAGACTTTGGAGCTGTGCTTGTTGTTTGTCTCATGGCTCTTAAAGGATGATGTTTGGGAGTTCAACAAAAGGAAGGTGTCATGGATTGCACCTCCCTAAGCCTTTTTCCTGTTGAACTGCGGCAGCCGTCAGTCTGACTTTGGGATGTCTCAGTCATTTCTTCTTCACGCATTCAAATGAGTTCATTGTAGATATGTTAGACTTTTTACATACACATCCGTGTGCAAGCTTGAATCTACCGTGGAGGAAAAGGAGAACACACTTTGCAAAGAATGCCTTGAAGTTGTGGAGTTCAGATCTTTGGAAGCTCAAAGGTGAGGTCCCATCCAGGAAGAGAACCTTGTCTTAAGTCCTCAAGGCAAAATCAGAGCCCAGGAATTTAAACACTTGCTTTTTTCTTTTTCTACTTGTCTGTTTGTCTGCCCTAACATGAATGTGTTCTCTGCCCTGCAGTATGACCCCAGAGCACAGGTACAAGAGTGCCCAATCTGAAGGAAAGCGACGCCCCTTCATTTCATTTTTACACCAGGTCTCTGTTAAAAGCTAAATATTTTCATCTTAAGGCTTCTAGTACATTTCATGCAGATTGATATGAGGTCAGGTCCTAAATTCCGACTCATTTAAATATATACCTTCTAGTATGTGAATCCTTGATTTAGGAATGAACTGAGTGAGCAAGAGCTACCAATGTGCTCTTTGTTCAGCGGCAAGACTCAGGATGTCCATACAGAGGTTTTGGGGGTTTTTCTTTCTATGTCAAAACTGTTCAATTCCTATTGTCAAAGGAACATGTGTTGCATTTTACGACTGATTTTTATTTCTGTTTCTCTGACTCAGCATCTGGTCTTGTACTTCTCTGCCTTACGGCATTGTATTTCTTGCATGTTTACTGGGGGGAATGAACGCGTCAGAGGTTCATCGCCATACAAAGATAACAGTAACACAACAACAATGGCAATACTAATCTTGGTTCCCCTCCCCAACTAGCCACTTAGTGTTCAAATGTGAAGATGAATTATATTATGTTTTACTGTTAACATTTTGACATTTGCAAACCAGTGTGCAATAACACCGTGTGATCCAGACACAGTGTGTAGGGTTATATGGAGCTACGTTATCACCACCCAAATGCTGGTGGGGTTTGTTAAAAAAAAAAAAAGGTGCGTTTTCAGTTTGTTGCACAAATCCTAAAGTGGATTTTGCTAAGGAGCTCACGTTAAAAGATCTAATTAAGTCTAGGGAGCCCAAATTCGCTAACTACTAACTGGCCAGCTGTGACATCACTCATCTCCAGATCACGATCGCGTTATCCAACATGGCAAAGGAACTGTTCAGGTTCCTGTTCTTTAGAACAGTGGTTCCCAACCGGGGGCACGGGGACCCCTAGGGTTACTTGGGGGGGTTTAGGGGGTATGTAGAAAGATTAGGGATTGCAAAAATATTTACACGCATCAAAACATCAATTTTCATAAGCCTTGTGTCCAACCCCCTAACTATCAAAGCTCATGAAGGACAAGCAAGCTCAAGTGTCTCATTACAATCTCTAGGCTTAACAGAATATGTTGAAACTGCTAGAAGTGAATCTTAACATTATTGTTTTTCATTCATTGACATTAAGTGTTGATGTCGAGTTGAAATGCTTTTGTATTAAGGTTGAGTTATACAAGTCATTTTCATGTAAGGAGCAGTTGGGTCGAATACAATTTAAAAGAGTTTAACACGAGAAAAAATGTAGGCGAATCATCACAGATGAGTGTAGGGGGGACACGAGACAACAAAGGTTGGGAACCACTGCTTTAGAAGATATGATTTGGTTAATGTGTGGATCAATAGCACTTTATGTAAACTAATTGCTTTTATCTTTTAATTACAAGAGAGATCTATATGTATTGACAAGAAATACTAGTTGAAATAATGGCTCTGGGCTGTTACTTTAAAAAAAACAACAGAATTATTAAATGTAACTCAGGTAGTGTTAATAAAGCCATGACTATGTTAACTATTGTTTTTTTGCCAAACGGCCCTTGTCATGTGATGTACTCAACTTGGAAATGCTCAATTGAAGTCCTATTATATATAGTCTCGTATGATGTGTGACAAAACACCAAATACTCTTGAGGAAAGCTGTCATGGCGTGCAAGGTGCTCTCGTCGTCATTTGGGGCTCTAAAAATATTTCCTTTTATTTCCCCCTTTAAAAAAAAAGAAAAAACACACATTGCTCCACGCGCTGTTTTCTATGTATACTATACTGTAATCTTGCAATTTTGATGGTTCATTTTTCTCCCATGTGTGTTCATAGTGAAGCACCTATTGATTTATTATTGCTGAGCATCAGTGGTGTTTCTATTGGTCGGCTCCATACTGGGTATGAGCTTTAAGTACACTTGTTTCCCACTGTGTCCTGATTTGGCAGCGCTGCAGCTTGTACTCGTGCAGAGCCAGTTGTCTTGACACGTCTTATCTCAGTCAGCTATTTAAACAACTTTCTTTTTGGCTTCCATTGTACGGCATGTGATGGAAAAGTACCCTCCGAGTTATAACAACTGTTGATATGAGAAAGCATGGGCATTTTGATTTAATATTGCCCATTAGCATTTAGACTTGTGTTTTTTTTTCTGTGCTTGTGGAAATTGACATTTAATCCGGCATTAAGTTACACAATCCTCACAATTGAATTTCTTCTGATTGTCCATAACCCATCAACAAAGCAACACAATCAGGTTCACATATGGTACATGCCAAATTGTTCAGGCTGAAAGCATCATCCTCCACGGGCAGGGAGGCATCTGTAGGCTCCTACATGTAAAACAGGGTGTTTAAAATGAGTAGTACGTGGTGTTACTGTAGTCTTACGACCTTTTTCTTTCAAAACTAAAAAGATATATTTTGTCTTGCTCTTTGAGAGGATGGTCCTGTCCAGGGAAATCAGAGAATCTCCCATCCTCCCACCCCAAGGATGGTCTTTTGAAGCACTTAATACAGCAACAAGGCTGTTGAATATGCATTTATTAAGATGAAGCTATTATTTAGCATTGTAGCCTGCAAACCAAAAACAGGTTCTTGAAGCCAAGTACATGGTTAATCAGTGATGGGGGGGGGGGGGCACGAGTGACTGTTGAGAAAATAAAGCCTGATCATGTGGAGTCTCTATCTCCGTCCCCTCAGGATGTGCAATCACCTCAAGGACTGATGCAGGCTTCCAGGCTGAGTGAGGAGCTCGGCCTCGTTGTATTTGTGGGTGTGTGCATAGCGAGTTCTTCCTATTATATGCAAGTTCCTCATATATTTCAATCCCCCCCTCCCCCTTTTTTGTTTCATGTTCAGGTGCCTGTGTGAAAACATATATACTTTTACAGCAATTTTGATTGTTTAAAATCTGCTTCCAGCATATATCCGTGCCATTTTTTTTGTTTCTTCATTCTTTTGTAACATTTGCAATGCTGTTTTAAGTTTTCTTACAGCTAATCCTATAATTTCTTCTTTCAAGCGACATGGACGCAGCTGAAAGCAATGAGAATTGTATGTGTTTTGAAATGTGTAAGCCAAAATCAGTTTGAATGGGACGGACGACGAGCTCTCGCTGGCCTATACTCATGCCGGTGCATTTGTCGAGTTCCTGTCTGAAGTAGCACATCATTGATTTAAACTGATTTAACAAATTTATGTTTTAACGTGTTTTTAAAAAAGGTTTTATTTTTCAGTTAGAACCTAATTTATCCATAGATGCACAAGTAGGATGAGACTAAAAGGAATAAATGATACAGAAAATCAAGATGTCTCATTTTTGTGTGAGTTTTAGATGATTACGTTACTGATAAAGACTGACCTATGTTATCCCCCAACAAACCGTTAATGTTAATATATTTGAACTCTTCCAGCAGATTTTCTACAAATGACTTTAACTCTTCAGATAGTTGAGATGGAGTGATGAGACTCACTGCATCCCAGAGTTCCTCTTAATATATTTTGTATTTGTAGCGATCATGTGAGGTATTAAAGTGCGGTTCAACAACTCTGAAATCTGCTTTCGCCAAAAGTACACTACTCCGATATTCAGCTAGTGAAGGGCAAGCGCACAGACTGGGGACGCATGTTGATGATGTCATAACAGGCTGGAGTTTATAGTGAAGAACAGAAGTCACTACTGTAGCAGCTGAATGTCACTTTGACGGTGTGTGAGAGCAAAAGATAAAACAAATACCAGAAGTGCTGCTTCTTCTTCTTCATCCAGTAATCAATCGTCTGTAATGGGAAATGCTGGACTTTGGTGTTTGTGCTCTACTTAAAAACGGTCCCATCTTTAAACTGCCTTTTTGTGGAAATGTTTTAATTGAGGGGGCAAGACACCTGAGAGGTAGTGTTTTTGAGTTCACACATGAATAATAATAATTAAAAAAAGGGCAACATGTGTCTACAAGGTGTAGTCATGAAAAGAGGCGATGTCATCTTTTGTTCTGTGTCATCTCAAATGGCTGTTGTGCGTGTGGATTTCTTTTTGGTCTGCTCCTCCTTCTTTTCACTTTGACATCTCTTGCCCCCCTAAAAGATGAGGCAACAGCATTTTTCTTTCTCAAATGTCTTACAAGTCGACATTTTACGTTTTTTAAGTGAGCAGTCTGTTTATTTTTTTGTTTGGAATTTAACAGAAGTGTCACATTACAATGTTTTTAGTTTTTTTTAAAGCATGATAATAACCCTCAAATTCCAAACAATGTAATAGAGTCAATATACAAAAAAAAACTTCCAGTGTTCACAATTTTAGTTTCCATTAAAATGTCAAATTTTCATGAAGAATAGTGTGTTTTGTGTTTTGTGTTCTGCTTCTCTTACACTTCTGTTCACATCTGTCATGGAGTCAGTAGATCAGCCTGTTAACAGCTTCATCATGTGAGCACTCAGAAATAAAACACCTCAAATCAACTGAATCTCTTCGAAACAACACTTTAGGATGAGGCAGTATAATGTATTGCAAGATAATATATAAACGTTCCTATCATATTTAATAATGTACGAATACTGTTATAGTACTGGAGTATTTATTGTGTGCTACTTTATACTTCTACTCCAATATATTTACTTTACTCCACTACATGTACAAGTTAATTTTCCTTTAATGATTTGAACAAAACATGAACACCTTTCAAATTATGATTATGACAAGTTTAAGTTGAACACGTTTTTTTTCATAAAAATAGTTTAGCGCCTTTTACTTTATATATGTTTAAGATATAGTTCAAGTGAATTGAAATAGGTTCATATGAATTCAAATCAGTCTGAGATCACCAGCTGTGTGTTTCTGCTGGGACCCAATTAGAGCAAATGTCTTACATACACATTGTTACATCAGTATCAATATTAATATGTTCATTTAACACAACGAAACTGACCATTATTCTAATGAAATATATAGTTTTACGGCTAGATTGTTTCTTAAAAATCTCCTTTATTTTCTATTAAGTACGATTTTAAATACAGGAATTTAACTTAATTAAAATGAATTGTATTATCACTTTTATTTATATAGGGTCTATCCCTACAGCCAAAGCTCAGTGACAAGCTCCAATCAGAATTAGCCATCTGGTTTTTATTAGATTAAAACCATTTTTTGCAACTCATTCAAAAGTTAGATGTAAGAAATATTTTTGGTTACCAACAACAACTGGGGAGTTTCTTTGGATGTGCAGACATCTGTTTCTTAGAAGTCCTCTCTGCTTTGACAGCATATGTTAGGAAATGCTCTGCCACACACACACACACACACACACACACACACACACACACACACACACACACACACACACACACACACACCACACACACCACACACACACACACACACACACACACACACACACACACACACACACACACACACACACACACACACACACACACACACACACACACACAGTGTTCAGACAGGCTGCTGGAGCTTTTCTGGAAACCATGCGATCATGATCAATGAGCCTGATGAAAAGGCCTCAGAGAGATAATTGTTGTTCACAGACGCCCCCTTGTGGAAGATCTGTGGCATTGAAGGAGTCACTACAAAACTACAGAGGCTGGTTTAACCACCTTCTTTTGATTCAAGTAAATGATGTACAACTCAACTGAAATTGAAACTGTTTTTGCAAAAGCTGAACGTCTTTATTCAAGTCTTGTTCAACCGTTTAAAGCTGATTGTATGTAGTATTCATGTATACATTGCAGTATAAATGAGTTCATTACATTTTAAATTCAACCTTAAAGGTAGGGTAGGTAAGAATGGAGAAACCAGCTCGAGTGCGCTAGAATTTGAAAGTACACAACCGAAAAAAAATCGACTCCTTCCTTCAGACCTCCTTACAGAGCCCCTCCTCCAACACACACGAACGCGCACATGACCAATGAGGGCACGAGATAAGTTTGTGCACGAGATGGAAGGCTGACAGGCAGGTAGGCCATCCAGTTATCTGCCAGTCTGCTCTGATTGGTTAGCCTTTTCAGACCATTTACATGCACCAAAACCTAGAACACACTACAGGAAAGGGACAACCCCAAAAAGCACAATAGGGCCCTTTTAATACCAAATACAAGTACAAGGTTTAAGTACTCATGCACAACTGTAGTGCAAGTATGAAAGAACAGTAAATGGAAATACTCAAGGAGAGTACAAATACCTTACTGACTTGTTTCTAAAATGTTTTCTACCTGTGTAAATATTAGAGTTGCTTGATTACTGGGGACTGTGTGAGCTGTTGACACTGCAGGTGGCGTATTTTCACCACAAACACACACATGTTTTTTCCCACTCTTTCCATGGAATTGAACCGGTGTTTACCGCCACCCCTCGATCTTACCTTGATTACTGTGCTCTTCTCGGGGCCTCATGGGGCTTGATGGTTAGTGCACCGGTGCGCAGAGATTATCAAAAGTGCTGGAAGGTCACGAAAAGGTTTGATCTTCGCTGAGGCGTTCCTGGACTTCTGCTCAGTCCACTACTGCTGGAAGAAAGAGCACAGAAAGAAAAAGCAAAAGGTGACAAGCAAAAGAAAAAAAACAGAGACTTCTGCTAATCAGGTCAGGTCCTCTCCATCACTGTTATCAAAGGGGTGATCGATTTTAACATTCAATACATCATATATTTGGCTGTGACTGATCTATTTAAATACAAGCATCGAACAATTCTGTTTTCACTTACTGTGATGATGATTATGATGAAATGATACTCTGACAACCCTCAAAAGGTTGCTCATTCTCAATGTCTCAATATTTGTCTGTGAGTGTGTCACCATGGCAACATGTGCTGCTGGAGACACAGGGCAGGAAGTGAGGGCCATTACTTTTGATACTTTATTCAATGTGTTATCAAGAATCACCTATGTGAGTGTTATATGATTACTTTCTTAGAATCATTACTAATGCATCAACGACTAAAGCATCTTACTGTTGGAGCTGGTTGAGGTTTTTATGTCTTAATACTTTATTTGGTAGGCCTCCTTGCAAGTGAATTCTTTCATTTAAGAGCTTTTGACCAGTGACCACTGGTTATGTTACCATCATGGAGAAAACTGAATCAACTTGATCCGTAAAAAAATATTAAAACAAACAAAAACAAAAAAACTTAGGCCTGATGATGAAAGCAACATTTACTACTTAAAGGAGCCCTGTTTTACTTTTGGGGTTTGGTGTTTGTGCATGTAAATGGTCTGCAAAGGCTGAAGTCCAAAAGTTCACTCAAGAGGGAGTTTCTCTCCCACACACCCCGCCTGAAACACCTCCATTAGACTCCTTTGTTTACTTCCATAACATAGTGACATGACTATGTAACACACACTTGTATTGGGTCCAACACATTGTCCAACACATTTTGGACGGTTAACCAATCACAACAGAGCTGGTCAGCTAACCAAACAGAGCAGACTGGGCTCTGGTTTCAGACAGAGGGTGAAAAGAGGTGCTGCAGCACAGGCAGTATGAGAAAAATAAAGAGCTATTTGAATATTAGAGCGTGGAGACATGTCACAATAGAGAGGCATACAATACTAATATGAACATGAGCATAATAGGACACCTTTAAAAGTAATTAGCTGACAAAAAAAGACCAAGAAATATTGAGGACGAGGAATTTATTTTTATTCTGCATGAATGGGGATTTTTCAAACTGATGCTCTCTGTGGCAAAGAATGTTAGAAGTTAATGGAATTTTCTGAAGCCTAGAAACATCTATTTATTAATTGCATGTTTGTTTGACATTATATGTGGACTTACTCCTCTGTTGATGTGATTTATGACATTTCTAACGAATACAAGTCAAGTACCGTCTTACAGAAGAGATTTCTATTGAGAGCCCTCACCCTCTGATGAGTCCTTACATGCTGCTCTCTGACAGAAACCAGGGCCAGTGTATCATCCAGGAGCATCTCCTGCTTTCTGGGATGAACATATCAGCAGCGAGCAGGCAGTCCCTGACATTTAGTGTTCAGTGATGATCACCATAAACCTCCTCACATCATCAAATGTCACACTGAAGCACAGCCAGAGTTTGCAACTGATCTGATGAACATCGTGATCCTGAGGAGAAATACTGCAGGCCGGTCCCGACGGTCACCCTGAGCCTTAAAACACTGAACCCTCACACACTTTAATTAACATCTACTGTGTGCTTAGCCACAACGTGTGAGTGCAGGAAGGAGCAAGGGCTCAGATGCTTTAATGGGACAGCTGCTGCCTTTACATTTTAATATGGTATATGGGGAGCTACATACACACATATAGAATATTATTTTTGGAATAAAAGGGTAATAGACCTTTCCCAGCGGTGAGTTTTCTGTGCACCAAAGCGTGTCCCTGTGGTCGACCTCTGCACTGATTTCACAGGATGATACTGCAGGCTACCCACTAAGATGTCACCTTCAGCATGAATACATTCTGCAGGCAGCAAATTAGCTGCTTGGACGACATTGTGAATCTATTTTGAACAAGACTAAGAGAAGAAGGCATGGAAAACACTCTTTCAGTGGCAATGCTGAGTTTAGCAGTTAACATTTACCCTCTTAACCCTCTCAGTGTAGCCTGTAAGCATGTTTACATTAGCAGATTAGCACTTAAAGTACAGCAGGGTCTAATCAAGTCATTCGTTTTACAGGTATTTGGTCATTAACCAAAAATATTGGGCATATTGATTATTTCTGTGAATAAGTGCTGGATGAAGTTGCCAAAGTAATTACAATTGATCTTCTAGGGATTTACACAATCTGCATATGAATATCTTGAGTTTTACCATTTCACCCTAATTAATTTATTCTGAATCACAAGTTTAGCAAGCCAGGGGACAGCAAGTCAGTAGGATTTATTCTCTTATCCTATTTCAGTCTAGACCAAAGTGGACCAACTGACTTTCACAGAGCTTAACAATTAAAATACACCATTTTACACATGCAAAGTCTAGGAAATAATAAGTAGGCCTACCGAGGGACTTGTTAGAAGAGTTGTGTTGTGTTGCATTTTGATATTAAAGTAACATGTGGAGAATAATGATGAGCTATTAACATTACTAACAGACATAATGATACATACTTACTGTACGTATCATTATGTCTGTTAGTAATACCAATAGCTGAGAGAGAGAGAGAGAGAGAGAGAGAGAGAGAGAGAGAGAGAGAGGAGAGAGAGAGAGAGAGATAGAGAGGAGAGAGAGAGAGAGAGAGAGAGAGGAGAGAGAGAGAGAGAGAAGAGAGGATGAAGCAAGGAGTTTTCTTTAGAGACAATTTTCAGTTTCGGTTAAAGCCACATTACAATGGAACTCAATC